CTGTGACATGTTAGGATTTCCCCCATTTTATAAGTAAGACACATTGGGAGTGGTGTGGTGGCCTAGAGGTGGAACTCTTGCCTGTGTGAAAGGGACACAGGATTCTGCTTAGACTTAATGAGACTGTCTTGAGCTATTTATGCCTTAAATCCTTGGGACAGTGTTAATTTTTGCGCAGGCTGTTGTTAAAATAAAGCATTCTGGCAGATTAAGAAAAGCATTCATTGATGCTGAGGCTTTTCTTAATCTGCCAGAATGCTCTGTTTTTAACAAAAGCTCTGTTAAACTCCCCCATAATTCACATAAGAATAGTGTATTTCAGACAACTTTAAAATGTCTGAACTTCAACTCCCAGGATTCCCCAGCCAGCACACCAACTGAGGAATTCTGGGAGTTGAAATCTACACATCTTAAAAGTTGCCAAGTTTGAAAAACACTGAATTAAAGGACAAAAAGAGTTGGCAAACAGCAGAACAGGACTCCCACATCTCTAGATTGACACCTACTCTTGATTTGTATTTCCTGTTTTCACTTCCACGGTCTCCACTTTCATTGATGTGAAGGCCTGAAAGATCAGGTTAGGAAAAGATCACCATGGAGAAAATCCATATACTCTCTGAGACTTAACAGTGGCTTGATGGCACATAACCCATTCATCCATCTTCCTTTGCTTCACTGTGTGGGGAAGAAGCTATCCATCTGCCATGGTTCCTGATGAGTGTTGCGAGTAGCTTTTCTCAGCACTTGTCAACTGTGTCTGGTTACAGAGAAATGCGTAGATTTAATGTGGTAGAAGGCAGAGATTACTTTCTCCTGTGTGCGTCTTGACAGTGTGGGGAGAAAAGTCAAACAGAGAGTCTTAACTTTCTGTCTTTGTTTGGAGGGAAGCCCCTTAGTAGTGGAGTGGCAACAGTTGCTCCTTGGTGTGGGCTGAAAGGATGGATTCTGCCAGTTCCAGTTTGCCTGTAAAATTTCCATGCCAAGATAGTTTTGTTCTCCCGTACCTGGGTATCCAAGAGAACTATGCCCCAAATAGACCCAATGAATGCATAAATGGTAGAGTGTCATTTTCTACATTCTCAGAAGCCTCGTCTACCTGAACTTGGAAGGAAATCTGCTTTACTCCTTGCCTTGTGGGATTCTGAAACTTCAGTTGAGTCACCTGCTGGTGGAAAACAACTTCTTGCATGCTTGTTTCTGGTCTGAGACTTTCCTGATGCAACCTCAGCGCCTTAGAGACATGGCTGCTTTGTGCTTCGTTAAGCACCAGCTGTGGAAAATATATCATCATTTGCCAGAGGAGATTCACGATATCATAAGCGAGTAAGTAAGGTGCCATCACCACAAGAGCTCTATTGAGTGCAAAAAGGAGGCGATGAAAAAGCTCACCAATAACCACAGGGCCAAAAAAAATGTCTCCTCAGAGGGAGCCACCAGTCCATACCAAAATGAGCAGGACCAGGTTCTGAAAAGTGTTTTAAATAGAGTGGAGCTACATTGACAGCCATTTGTTATGACTCAATAAACTATAATACTGTACTTAAAGTAATGGACTATAGACACTCATCTATTTAAGTTCATTGAATAAGGCTAAGGTAATGGAAGGAAATGGGTGAAGCAAACATAGTATAATAAGGTCTTACATTGGCCTAATAAAAAAATAATAAATAAGAGTGACTTAATGACTATGTACGTTTGAAGTACAGGCATGTCATGTTTGTATCATTTTTATTTCCACTTTTCCTCCAAGGAGCTCAGCATTATACATATGATTTCCTCTACCACTCATTTTCTCTTCAAAGCCACCCTGAGCTAACAAACAGCACCAATCATAATAATTTTTATTAATATCCTACTCTGATTGCATTCCTGTGAATGCACTCTCACAACATATTTAGTTAGAGTTTAGTCATGGTTTATTGTATAAATCAGAATTGGCTAGATTTGTAAATAAAAATGGCTGCATTTATGCAACATGCTAACCCCAAACCAATCGAATTCTATTGTTGCTTAGCTGGTTATGTGAACCTGTCAGAAGTTAGACCTGCTGAATCCAATTGAGCTTATTCCCAAATAAGACCAGAAAATACAGTTTTTTTCAAAGATCAAAAGAAGTGACTCTAAGACTCCCGAGTTCCAGTCTGACACTGTAACTGAAATTAAAATAAAATGCATCAAATTAAAATGAATGATTTTGTTTATCAAGACGTGACTTGAATATTGATTTCAAGTTATAACTTTAACTTCAGTTTCAGATTTTATCTTTGCGTACTTTCAAGATACAGTATCCAAGTGCATATTAGATTTTAAGACAATCTTAGTATGGGTTAATAAAGTAGTCTGTGGACCAGGTGCATTCATATATGTTTACCCAAGATGATTTATATTTGGTTCATTTCATAAGAGACAAAATGGCAGCCTTCTGCCTTGCTCTTTAGTGTGCAATGCTAACATTGCCAACTGTGTATCCACAACAGTTCCTTGGGCATAAGCAAATCATAGGTCAATTCCTTCTTCAGAAACCCAATATGAGGCGTAGGCATATTTTAACAGTCCTTGATAGATTTCTTCTTTTTCTGCTACAGATTTGTATTAGTTACACTTAGAAAATCCTTTTGAGCAGATTTCGTATCTATATATTTACTGTATATATTTGTGTATAAGCCCAGCATAAACCCATCCACGGATAAGCTGATCCTCAGTTATTTTAACCAAAAATAATATGCTTCCCATGGATAAGCTGATCTGCAGTTTTCATGGTATTTTGAATAAAATTTCAAGGATTAGCTTATCCACAGATGGGCTTATATAGAAAAATATACAGGATACTATATATGGGTACTTAAAAAAAATATTACCGTATATTCACATGGATAAATCCATCCATGGATAAGCCAAGCCCAATTTTGTGGGTGTATTTGGCACCTAATATTCTCATCTGTGAATTCGTCTTTTCTTAGCATAATATTTATGCAGTACTTGATTCCAAACAGGTTCTGCTTCAGTGTTAACTATAAATGACAGATGCCATACCCTTTTTCCCTCCCGGTTTGATTCCTATTCCTAGTTTCACCTCTAAATGGCAGATAGGAATTTAATACATATTTGCTAAAAGTTCCTGCTTTATGGAAACACCATGCAAAGAAAGCTACAACCTGTTAAAAGAGGGTAAAGTATGGTAATATTACATCGTAATATTATATACCCTGTGAAGGAGGGTAAAGCATTGCAATATTATAAACCTTACAAAAGCAAATAGCTGGACTTGATGAAGAAAGTGTGGAGATGTTCTACTATTGCCTGATCCGGAAGGTTCCTAGACTTGTTTACTCCGATATACTCTGTACTTAGCTGCCCTTGGAAACTGATAACAAGCAGCAATGCCAGCAGCACATTTTTACCTCAAACCGCACATCGGCCCTAGATTTTCCGTAGCGAGTTTAAAAGATCTGCTTTAATTTGCTCTCCCTAGTATGTGACACTGACCTACTTTCTCCCGTTTCAGCTTTACAGGCTGCGATTGCTGCATGGGGCCCTTGTACGGAAAAGGCTTCCGTTTTATCCTCATTTATAGGAATGCTTACGGACTACGGCTCCCGTATCAATTTTCAGCTTGCTCACCAGACTGCTATACAGCCTTTGTCAAGTCAGCTGTGCCAACCTGATGGGAGTTAATGTTTAGCCAACTGAGATTCAGAAGTGAATAACCAGTTGAATAAAGCAAGCAAGCAGTGCTTTGGGTATGGGATTTTTTTTCCCCCCCCAATGTAGATCTCTGGTGTGGTGGGGGCGTCTTAAGCATTATTGTGACATTCAAAGTTCAGTTATTTATATATCACATTGAGAAACTGCCTATCTCCCTCCTAGAGGACTCTGGGTGTTCTCTTGATTAGTATGCGCATCCGTAAGCCACGTTGTGAAAATCCTAGCACCGTTTCCAGCTTTTAACTAAAAAAAAAAAAAAAAAAGGAGAGTAACATTTTAAGTCTTTTAATGTAAGTTAGTATTCAGGATTTGGGGATCCTTTTTCTTAGCACAACCTACAATGTCATTAGACAGATTGTAAATATGATCAAAGGGATATATGTGTGCATCCGATAGGTATAATGCTACTTTTTACTGTATATTCTGCCTTGTAATAAAACAAAACACTATGTATGTACTGATACATTGCTTGATAGTGTGCTTTTCCTGCTTTAGGACAAACTAAATGATGGGCATCTAGAAATGGTACGCTGTATGTATGAGGCAAGATAATCACAGCCATTTTACTCATTAGTTTCTTGTGCTGTTTGTAGAAATTTAAATAAACTCAATCAACCAACAAATGTAAGAAGCAGTGCATTTAGAATGCAATAGATAACACTTTGGTCAGGATACGAGATGATACCAATTATACTTGAGGCTTTTGGAATGTAACATTTGCACAAATCTTAGTTTTGCATGGCTTATAAAAACATTGTTTGCAGATGTGTATATTATGTAGACTTTCTGTGAGTCTAAGATTAAATTTGACATTACGAAGTTCTCTTGACTGCCACCCGAATGGTAATCAAAGTTACTGTAACCCAAGTTGTTTGTGAAAATCCCAGCATCACTTCCTTTGACTCTAAAGCAAAAATATGATGCTGTAAATACCATTTTCTTATTAATTTGCCCATTATGCATCTGGCAAAACAAACCCTTCTTTGAAGCTATAATAAATAAAATCAGGACTCAAATGTTATTTGCTATAGCAAGCTATAAAAGGCAGAATTCAGAAAAAGACTCCAACCCTTCTGAAAATGTGCAGAAGGTGCTTAATTATATTCCTTGCCACCTCTCCACAACTAAATGAAAGTAATAGCCTTTTACTGAAAAAAAACATTGATTGGTTTCGAAATGTTTCCACTTTCTCATTTCCATTCAAAAATACATATAATGTAGTAAGATGCAAGCATGACATGTGCCTAGGGACATAAACATGAAAGAAAGTGTGTACATTTATACATCTGTATATCAATTGCAGCCTTTATTGCTTTGTGTTATTTGAAAGAGTGATGTCTAATTTCAAGTTAGACATATATATTAAAAATATTTGTTTTGAATCATCAAATCAGGACTTCATTGCAGTTTGCAGAAATAGTAATCACAGGCAGAGCTTTTGTTGTTTATTTCCACTGATCTCCTTCAAGGTTTTTCACTGTCAGACATTCCCATAGCTAGACTCAGTCAAGCATTGAGGTATTTGGCATGGTGCCTGATATGGTCATTAATGAACGTTGTGATAAAGTAGTAACTGTGATCGTAGCCCTAAAGAGAGAAAAAGACCAGGTGGCTTCAAAAAACTAAGCAAAAGGTCAAAAGCATATGCGTATAAAACTACTTTACAACTATTATTCTGGCAGGAGAATATATTCTCTACCACTAAGGAAAGCTGAATTACAAGCACATAGATCGTAAATCATCTCCTTAGGAGTTTCTTAAATGAACAAGAATTTAAGGCTTTAATCTCATACAATAGATACCCAATTGTAAACAAGCTTCAAAGGAAAGCATAGGATTGTAGTATAAATGTTTAATACTTCTTTTAAAATGTAATTAACGTCCAACTGGGTGCACAATGTTTCAAACCTGAAACACCTCTTACTATTACTGTAAGTGTGCTGATCCTGTTCCAATCATTCTGGAAATGTTCTAAATACTTGTAAATTGAAACAGCCATTCCAAGTTTGGCATGGTTCCAGAACAGTCAAAACTCCTTGGAATAAGTTAGAGGAGCCATTTCAAACCGTAAACAATTGCTGAATTTGAAAAGTCTTCCACACCCTTAGTTTTCTCCTCTGTGTACAGTATTTAACCTCATAGCAGTCTCTTGTTCATTGATATCACAAACTCAAAATTACATCTTAAATCTTTAAAGCCACTGAAAGCAGTGTCAATCCTAAACCTAACCAGGCAGTGGCTGTTCCTGCAACGTTGCACTATAAACTGGACTTCTGAAAGACTTCCTATGAATTCGTTGAGTACCTGACATGTAATTCTTTTTCTCCTACTTTGCTTCTCCCTTCTAAAAGGTTTTATTTGAATTGATATTGCACGGAACGCACAGAAATTATAATCCAAGTACACACATTTTTTTGTATGATTTCTAATTTGGTTTGGGAGCGACAAACCAGAACAAAGAGCTCCTTTTTCCAAGGAAAAGCAATTCATTTTACTGGTAATGAATGGGCTGCAGAAAAAAATGCAGCTGATTCTTAGCAAGCTAGAATTTGCCAGGGTAGGGAGCAAAGCCCAGAAAAAGTCTGATTAACCACTAACATTCCTAGATGCTTTAGGCTCAACGTTTAGTAAGATGGAGAAATCTGTATGATACACAAATCTAACACCTAGATCTGTGATGGTGAACCTATGGCACGCGTGCCACAGGTGGCACGCAGAACCATTTGTGCCGGCACGCGAGCTGCAAGCAAACTTACCTCACTGTGCATGTGTGTGCCTCACAGCTGATTTTTGGTGGGTTTGAGGCCTTTTTCGGCCTCCCAAAGGCTTGAGGAAGGTTTCTGCAGGCTGAAATCTAGCCCTGTTTTGTCACTTCCAGTATTTTCAGAAAAACAGGAAGTGACGAAACGGGGCTAGATTTCGGCCTAGAAAGATTGTAGAAGCCTGCAGAAGTCTTCCTCAAGCCTTTGGGAGGCCGAAAAAGGCCTCAAACTTGCCAAAAATTAGTTGTTAGGCACAGTGCAGGTAAAAGGGTGGTGGGGGTAGGTGGGTGGAAATTGCACGCGCATGCGTAGGGGACGTGGAAGGCACGCAAATTACCTTCTGGGTGCTGGCACACGAGTACGAGCGTGCAAGCGCTCATTCAATTTTTGGCACAGGAGCCCTAAAAGGTTAGCTACCACTGGGCTAGATTTTCAGATTCTAGGAACCGATATAGTCATTTAAAAAAATCATTTAATTAAATTATCACTTTTTACTTATCTTTTCAAATAAGATTTAAGCACTAGATGCAAATAAATTAAAACCCAGTTCTGGAGCATTACCTGCTGCAACCTAAAAACGACTGGGATTTTCCGTTCTGTGCAAGCAGCAATGAAATTATCGGGTAGCAACTGTCCTGCTGTAAGGAACTGATCATCTTTGCCTTGGTCTATTAGAATATCCAGAGGAGAGCCTTGGTAAGATTTTGCAATGTGTGTGGCATCATAGGCCTATAAGAAAAAAAAAATGCATTTGCTTCTAACAATAGCATCAGCCTGGCCAGATTAAAAGGTGAGAAAGACAAGGGAGACTGCAGACAAAAGGCAATTTCATGCAACAGACTTATAACCACTTGGCATCTATTAGCTACAATGAAATGCATATGATTTGAATTCTCTTCTGTTTTAAAAGCCCCGAGAATGGAACAAGTTCCCTTTCCTCTGCAGCCACTATCAGCTGGAAGAATAAAATAGTTTCAATCTGGCATTCATCTGTCAGAATTATTAAACAGAAGGATCTAGTATTCCAACTTCACATTTCCCGGGCATCAACAAATAAAGATTATCTATTTTTTCCTGGCAGTAGCGGCTTTAAAATCAACATCCAGATTGTAAATCGTTAGCTATAATATGATAGTTATAATTACAACATTAATAACTCAGTCAAAAATAAATGAATAAGAAACAATAAAATCTACAGGTGTACAAAAGTTTTCAAATTGAAAATATGTCTTGTCTTCCAAGCAAACTATTTCCAACCATATCTAAGTTGGAAACACTTGTACCTGAAAAACAAGAACATTTCTAAAATGAAAACAAATGACAAAGCAGTTAATTTTGAATGGGGAACTGATTGCAACTCAGAATGGAAGTTTCAAATTTGAAATGATCTGAAATAAAAATACTGTATATACCATTAACAAAACTGACATAACAAGTGTTCTTCAATGCTAAAAGCTGACTTGCATACCTTTGTCTGCTGGTGGAATCACAACTGGACTCCACAGGGTTAGTTTTGAAATGGTAGATTGATATTTTTAAAAAACAATTGCAACTTATTCTATATTATACATGTGTCAACATTTTCAGTACATACTTCCCAATTTGTTGTGTTTGATCCTAGATATCCACTAAAAGCCTTTTTCCCCCATGGACACTGCATTGGGTTGCAGATTGGAGCAAATGCTGAAACAGACTATTTAAATATTGATGATTAATGCACAACAATGCGAAATTATTTTTCTTCAAATAAACATTTATGAAGCTGTCATTTACAGAGTTCCAGAACATAGTTATTTTCCCACTTTGATAAACCAACATTATTCCACCGTCAGGATTATTGTGTGCACGCGCACACACACATTTATATAACCTACATAGCTGCTTATCACACACAGTGCTCCTAGGGAGGTTTAACAACCAATAAAAACCAGAATAAAAACAAAACAACTCTTCCCCCACTAGGTGCCAGACCAACCAGACTTATCAATTATTCCTTGATTTAATTTGACACATTAAATAGTTTGAATCTTACTTTATATTTTCCAGGATTCTTTAGAGCAAGGATGAGAGCCCCATGGCCTCCCATGGAATGGCCTGAAATTGACATCCTTCCAGAATCAACTGGGAAATTGGCATTGATCAGACTAGGTAACTAATAGACAAAGAAGATAAAGACAAAGGAGAAGAAGAAAGTCAGCGTACTTCCATTTTCTCCTGCATAAAATGAAAACACATATTTACTTTCATCTACATAGAAATAATGGTTTACTTTGTCAATCACTGTGTCTAAAAGTGGCAGGTTTACAGCATACAAGTCTTTTTTTAAAGATACAGATAAATAAATCATTAGTAAATTTATCATGGATGTAGTTTTAAAGCCCTTAATATATTAAGGGAGCATTCCAGAGGCATGGTAATTTCTTCCATCCTCAATGAAACGTATGTTGTATTTCTTTCATTGAAGTAAACCAGAAAGTCACACTGGTCTGAGATCAGATTGAGATAAATGAGAAAAAATTACACTAGAACTTCTTTACTTAATACCTACCTACAATGTGTAATTATATTATGGTAATTGTAGATATCTCTCTCTCTCTTTCCCAACTCCCCCCTCACTTTTTCCCCACTCTCCCTTTTTCGTCAATTCACTTATTATCAGCATTTCTCCAACATTTGGGGTAGGCATCCTGTCCCTTTACTTCATGCATGACTTGCAATTATTAAAGAAAAAACATTTATTGCACATTTATTTATTTCCTAACAATTACAAATACATAGTTACATCATAAAATTACAAGTCATCATAGTAGTAATTTAATAAAGTGTAACCAGATGTGCAGCTCATGTGAATCATATTGTTGCACTACTATAACCAGCACAATTGTATGCTTCACAGCATGCAGTCAAAACAATCCTAAGCGTGACACTATTTTAAGCATCTAAAGTTTGATATATTTATAACAATCAAAGTTTACAGTTTTACACACTCAATAAACATTTGATGGATAAGTGATGCATAATCTTCTGCTTCCATTATCCTAATCCCTCTCCTCCTGTTGGCCTCTTGTCATCTAATGCCCGCCCCTCCCGCCCCCCAGCTGTCACATTAAATAATTCAAATGTCCTCCAGAGGACAATATCGCTCATTTTTAAGAAACACTGATTTAGATTAATGTAATTCAAATTACCTCATCTTTTATGTAAGAATACATGCGATAATTTGTTTTCCATAATTCTTCTGTGGCATCTACATAAAAACCGGCTCCAGTGCCAAAATCCCAGCTCTCGTCTTCTCCTTGAATGTTGCATCCACCTTCCAAGGAAAGAAATGTTACATCAATAATCAGCAAAGTACAGGAACGGGGGCCGATACTTTGTCTTCATGTGGAGCAGGGCTAACCACAAGGCTAGGGGGAAAATATCTGTCTCAAAAGCAATAATATCTTCTGGAATTAAAGGCTGGGCAGAAAAATTTACCTGATAACTATAAAATCTTTGCAGGAATTTTGCTGAGCTGCGGAAAGTCAGTTCTGAAACTTTAAGTAAGGGCTCAATAATTAGCTTTGTGTGTCATAAGAAGACAGATATTCAATGCGAGTGCATATTTTTCTTCAGAAAGAAGATCACTTCTTGGAAAAATGTATTATGACTGGATTTCTGGTAATCCAGAAAGAGCCCACTGGGGAAATATACAGTATATCAAGATAGGAATGTAATCATTATAGTTCCCGACCTAATCTAAGAGTTATGCCTACAGGATCTCCTCTTTCAAAATCTATCTACCATTCATATTGATGAAAGAACACCCCCCCGCTCCCCGCAATATGCTAAATTTAATGGCTGCCAGAGAAGCAGGACCACCCAGTCACTGATAAACTGGCTATATTTATACACAGGAAGCCCATTCCCCCCTAATTATCTGCTGTTCAGCCCCTTTTTGCCAGAGAAGCTACTCAATGACAAGATACTTCATTTCAGGAGCAAAATGCAGGGAGGGCAGGACAGAAAGATAATAATTTCTATTTTTCCTGTTGAAAAAATGTAAACCAGTTATTGTCAAAAGTAGTGGCAGATACCTGAAACGTGATATTTTCAACAGGTAAAATAAGTACGATTTACTCACGTACATGCAGATAGTCCTCGCCTTACAATGAAGCCTGCCTAGTTGTAAATCAGGTCACCCGCATGACTGACCCAACATTATGACCTTTTGCAGCAAGTGTTAAGTGACCACTGTGGTCTTTAAGCGAACCAATGGTTTGCTGTGGGGCCTGTTTTGCAGAAAACTGGAAATAAATTCCAGTTTTCAGCAAAACTGTCCCACGTGACCACAGGATGTTGCAAGCAGCCATAAACGCAGGACAGTTGACAAACACCACGTATGTGACCATGAGGGTGTGGGATGGCAGCCACTGGAACTTCAGAACCAAGTTGTAAGTACTCCCAGGGATGTCCATTGTAACTCTGAATAGTTGGTAAGTAACTAGTTGTTACTTAAGTTTGCTAGAGTCAGAACTTCTGTATCCAAGCCATGAGTAAACCAATTAAACTGATGCTCTTTAATAAACCACTTACGTGGACTGGTATCTGGAGCAACTACAATAAGGCCATGATCAGCTGCAGCTTGATGGAAGGCAGCTTTGGTTATGAAGTTTTGTTCCGTACATGTTAATCCTGGAAGAGAGCAGAACACCTTAATAGTAAACAAACATTCTTTATCACTAATCTGGACCAGGAAGGCATCCTCTCTGCCTAAATAAGAGAAGCTACACATTCCTGGTTACATTTTCATTTCATAGGGAAAAAAGTGAACCACTTATTTGGTCTCTAGATTCTAATGATCAGACGAAGTTAGGTATTTTTATACTCAGTGTTCCTCAACTTTGGAAACTTTAAGAATTCTGAGAGTTGAAGTCCACGCAAAGTTCCCAAGGCTGAAAAACACTGTATATACCGCTCCAATCACCAGGTTCTGGCCAGTTTACAGTCATCATAAACAAGAGATAAATTCATAAAACTCACAGAACGGCCGCAATGATTCCCATGCAAGCTAAAATAAGGAATATAAAAAAGTAGTAAACCCCCCTTGCTCCACCCAAGCCCCCAAATCAGAACTACTATAGTCCAATAAATCCTCAATTGTGTACAGTAATTTAGATTGGGAAGTAGCATTCAATGCAGAAGCAAGAGAAAGTCAATAGTAAAATCAAGTGCCTTTAATTCTTTGATACTACAAACAGATAGGATGTATGGCTCCATTTTGCTAAGAGATCTAGGGAAGACCCTGAACTTTTCAGCAAGTGACAGATAACCAAGAAGATAAATCTGGAAAGGCATCTCCTGAGTAGTGATGCCTTTCATCTCTGTCTCCATCTCTCTCTCTCTCTCTCCTCCTCCCTCCCTCTTTCTACCTTTATTTCTCTATTTCTACCTCTCTACGTATTTCTACATTTCTACCTTTCTATTTCTACCTCACTGTCTCTCTGTCTCTGTGTCTGTATCGCTATCTCGCCCAGATATAAACATCTATTGAACCATGGTGGCATAGTGGTTAGAATGCTGTATTGCAGGCTAATTCTGCTGACTGCTGGCAGTTTGATTCCCGCCAACTCAAGGTTGACTGAGCCTTACATCCTTCTGAGGTGGGTAAAATGAGGACCCAGATTGTTGGGGGCAATAGGCTGACTCTGTAAACCTCTTAGAGAGAGGGCTGTAAAGCACTGTGAAGTGGTATATAAGTCTAAGTGCTATTGCTATTTCAACAAGCCAGAGGATTAGAAAGATGTCAAATTCTGCCTAATACTCAACAAGGCTTAGCTGACAATAAAAGAAAACCTGTCTTCTTCAATACTGACTCACATACAAAAGGTACACAAAGATCTGTAACCTAAGGACACATTCTACTGTTTTAAAGGCCTGACTTAGTTGTACTAACTAAACAACTGAATTTTAACCATCATAACCATGCTTTTCACAAATAATTTCAAAATACTCACCTGATAGCCAATACAACACAGGACATTTCTCAGTTACTGCCTTTGGCGGTAAATAAATCCCAAACTTCATTTTACATTTCAGCTCCACACTGTTAGCAACAATATTGCAGTTAAGACAGAACATTTTTTAAAAGTGTAATGTTTTTACTTGGCTGTTTATTACTGCTTCAGCAGTGTTGCAACTTGCTCAGAGAACTCTGGCTTTGGGGGCTGATTAATATATAATACACTATTAAATCATTGGTGTTCAACCTTTTGGCTTGTCTGGGCCGCATTGAATGAAGAGGAATTCTCTCGGGCCACATATAAAATATATAATATAGTTAATGGATATAAATAACAAACTTCCTTTATTTTTAATATTTTTATTATACCTTGTGGGGCAGCATTACTACTAGCTATCTAGGACTGTGTACAGCCCATGGGCTGCGGGTTTGACATGGCTGCACTAAATAATCCAATCTAATTTAATCTAATCTAATCGAGAATTAAATTAGAGCTTGTAAAAATTTATTTCTGAATGAGCTGTTTTTATCATTTAGTGTTTTCTTCTTGGCGGGAGAGACTATGCAGCTAATGTGACAGAAAATAACTAAAGAAAAATGCTAAATTATGGACGTATATGAAAGGAATGGGATGGACTCTAGCACAAAGCCTGAAGGAAACGGAGCAGGAACCCCCGACCAAAAATAACATGGTATTTTTTCAAACTAACCAACATTTTGAATATTGCAATTTCCACCATAACGCCTAATAAGCCAAAATTATGCAATAGGAAAATAAAATTGCCAACAGAAAGTCAGTGTGGTGCACTGGGATTAAGGCATTAGGCTAGAAAGCAGAAGATGGTGAGTTCTAATCCTGCTTTAGGCATGAAAGCCAGCTAGATGTCTTTGGGCCAATCCCTCTCTTAGCTCAACCCACCTCACAAGAGTTGTTGTTCAGGGGAAAATAAAGGGAGAAAGGAGTGTTAGGTATATTCAGCCCCTTAAGTGATTTTAAAAAAAAGCAAAGATGGGATTAGAAATGATATATAAATAAATTAATGTCATTAAGGAACACAATAATATTTAACTATTCTTTTAATATCGTGACTGCCAACGTATTATTGGAAAGACGACAAGCACATAGTGGACCTTAGATTTAAAGGACAGAACTAAGCTACTAGGAAAAGAGCTAGGAATAGACTTAGTTAAAAGAAAAAAGCATAAAGCTTTTGGAATGCATCTTCTACTAACAAAAGAATCTTGAAGCAGTAAAGGTTTCCTTTTTTTTTTTAAGGGGGGAGAGTGGCATTTTTGCTGATTTTTTTTTTCACCCACTGTACTTTCTGTTCGAAAGAGACCATTTTGAACAACACTGGGAGTAGCTGAAGGAATGATGATTTGATAAATATTACTTTCCCTGCTCCCTTCCATTCACAGAAATCTTTGCTAAATCACATAGCCTCTTCCAACCAGAACCCATCATAAATATCAAGACTCCGGGGGTCTCTTTCTACAGAAGGGCTGCTCTCTATTCTAGAAGCTCTAGTCTCAATGCATTTAAAAAAACAATATTTTGGAAAAGGGTTATAAATGTGGAAACCCAAGAAAGCATATGCCAACATGTTAGTTTCAATAATATTTAGCACTACTGGTTCATGTTAGAACAACCATCCAAGCTGTCATTTTTTAAAAGAAAATTTGCCCACGTTAATTATAAACAGACTATTCAGACCAGCAGCATTCTTTTATCCAAGTTTTTTCACAAGCCTTCCTGCTATACGCAATGCAACTTCTTCCAAGATAAATGTACATAGAATCTCAAGTGTAGTTGAACTTTGGTGTTATAAAAGTTTATGTTCCACTGATTACAGTGGAACTTAGATGCAACTGAAATTAATTTTGGTTTATACAATGTTGGACCTTAAAGACGCAAGACAAGAAGAATATGGCCCACTTTGAACTTTGCTATTGGAGAAGATTCTTGAGAATACTGAATACAGCCAAGAAAGCAAACTGATGAATCCTTGAACAAATTAAACCAGAATTCCCAATCAAGGCACAAAATGATCAGGCTCTGATATCCTATTATGTAAAGATCCAGATCTCCAGAAATGGCTTTATTGCTGGGAAAGGTAGAAGGAAAAAGGAAGACAACCAGCTGCAAGATGTATACATTCAGTTACAGTGAAGATGAATGCACCATTGAGAGACTTGAAAGAACAGGTTATGGACAGGTTGTCATGGAGAAAATCAAATAAATATAATGTTAGTGCTCTCGTTTTGATGAATTCTGTTTACAAGGGAAATTCGCTTGTTCTCTTCATTTTGAAAGAAGCATATTCTCATTACCCCAGATCTTCCTATCCAAGTGTTTTCACTGCTACTTTTACAACTGTAGTGTTTAAGTCCTTTTATCTGTCTGTCTATGTATGTTGTGATTAGTTTGCTAAGAAGAAGTCAGTATAAAATTATTTAAATAAATAGCATATTAACCTGTCATGTTCAAACACTTTCTGAAAACCTCCACAGCATTTGTTGCTAGAAACTTCCTTCATGGCCATGATCTGTGTTGAGGAAAAATGAGATTTCATGAGTTCGTTTCATTCAGCAAAATCACACCATCATACATAACACCTGTATATAAAAAGTGTTAGCAATATTTAAGTTGCTAAAAAATTCATAGATTTTGAAACAACAAAATTGTTTTAAAGTGCTAACATGAAAACAAGCATAAAATTGTTATCATTATCTCCCACCAGCCTTCATTTTTTTCCCTTTCTCTTCACAGTTGAAGACAATTAAAACTCTCTCATCACATATAGTATTTCTTGGTCAGCAGAAACTTTCACAAATCAGTAAGCCAATAAAGGGAAGAGCAGAAGACACAAGTAATACCTACTTAAGAATAAAGAGCTGGTAAGACTAAAGATACTGGATTTAGGATCAAGGAGACTCTAGTTCAAGTCCACACTCAGCAATGAAAACTGACTGAATTAGTTTAGATCTACAGAGAAATTGAGCAATATATAGCAAAAAAATAATATGTAGCAAAAAATAACAAGCTAGTATACATAGCTTATTATTTTATAACCCACCTTTCACTTAAGATTTCTTTCCATTTTTTCCTTGGTGTGAGGTGGGCTGAGAAAGTCCAACACTACCTAGTGAACTGCTTAACATTTCCAAGTGAAATTCTGTGGCTGAGGGTAGACTAGAATCAGGGTCTTCTGATCTTAGTTTGACATCTTAACCATTACACCACACTGCTTCTTACCTTGAGCTTCTGGAAGAAAAGATGGGGCCAGAAATCACCAGCCAAATTAGATAAAATAGAGCTTAGAAAACAGAATTATTCCAGTACTGCAGATCTTTTCCAACCAATAGAGTTGATTAAAAGGCTTAAGCTGTCAAGATACCATTTCTACCCTCTCCACATTCTAATTTAAAGTCTACATGAATCAAACCATCCTATTTATCTGATGAAGTGAGTTACAGCTCACAAAAAGTATGCCTTTTAATAACATGTGTTAGTTACAAGAGGTGCTATCAGATTCCTTTTGATTTTTGCTATCAGACCTGGTGCTTTGCTTAACATTTGACACAGAAACTCTTACTACTTCAGTCTGAACCCATGGTCCTTCAGGCGGGTAGAGATGCACTCTTATATTAATATTTACAATTGCTTTACAAGCCTTTGATAAGGAGAAGAGGTTTTGGAACACAGCCTTGCTTAAGGCCTATCTCAAATTAGCCCGTGGTCTACTTTGGGAGGTAGGGCTCCATGCCAGGGATAGAAATCTGACTGAATTCCATTTAGAAGTTCCTGCCAAGAAACTAACAGAAAAATGCTGTTGAGAGGGAAGGCAAATATTCAGCTCTTTCGCAGTTACAGTTGCAGTTACAGTTACAGTGCTTACATCCATTTTCTACTATTTTCATTTCAATTTCTTCCCAAGACTTTGCAGAAAATAAACCAGCACTACTTCGACTTTTCCTCCCAGTACTTGTGCTCCATGCAAACTGAATCTGCTAAATGATTTTTGCCATAATAATTGCTGTCCTAGGAGGGGAAGGGTATAAAAATTACAATAATGCTTGACTTCCACTTTATGTAGAAATTAGTTTTATTTCTGGAATGATCATTTAGAGAATGAACGTTTAGTATGGATTTGGTTCATCTGTCACACTTGAGCCATTTTACACAGACATCTTGAAACTCTTATATTATCTTCATCCATTTAACATAGCACACTTAGAACTACGCTGCACTAAACCATTGATTGATTTGCTGAGCAACAAGCCATGATCAGCAAACCACAATAGTAGGAGTCTGCCCAATCAATTAAACCAAAACCAAAATAAAATAAATCACAGGATGGCTTAGCAAAATGCCTACAGCTATCTAGGGAGCAGTTCAATTTTTCTCAAGCAGCTGAAGTGAGCAAAACCAACCTGAATCCTCTCTTGTGTAAGAGGATCCATACCAGGAAGTAAATCATTCACTCAGTTCTGATTTAGATACCACTGAAAATGGGAAATTCCCCCAGAGCAGTTTGCAATACCTGCTTGCTCTTCATAAATTCAAAGCTTTTGGCATCAGAATTACTTCTCAAAGAGGAAAACAGAAGCATCCACAAACAATATTTTGAAATTTTATTTGCTCTTTATAGAAATTTATTAAAATGGCCCGATGCAACATGGGCAGAATGAACAACATCCGAAAACAAGATTACCAATTAAACACAGACATTATTGGTTTCTGCGTGCTACGCTTAGATGCAAGAATATGGGTTGTGTCATTAAGAAAAACTAGGTATATTAAGAACATATCATGGAGGAAAATGTTCTGATGAAACAAGAAGCAACCTTCTTATAATCAGTGAGATATGGGAAGATTGATTCAACTTTAACAAAATCATATTTTCCTTTTCTTAATCTTGTCCTAATCTTAATTTCCTACATTTAAAAAAATTCTCATATATCACCAGGCTGGTTTATATCCAAAGATAATAATAATAATAATAACCCTTAGACTGCCCCACCTCAGCTTCAGAACTGCAAATCTCAGGGACACATTTGAGAATACGGGGGCTATAAGCATGCAATAGGGAGCGAAGCCGAATTATCCAGATGTTTAATGGTGCAACCGCAGCACTCAAGCGCAAGACTGGGCAATGTCTTGGCAAAAGCAAGGACACCAGCACAGCCAGACCTCCGTGTTCTGTCAAGGGGTTGGTGTCTCTCATTTCTCCCATTCTAAATTACAGCATGACCCACAGTTAAAAAATAAATCCAGGTTTTCTCCACACAAAATGTATGAAGAAAACAGAGAGGGCAATTGAACATGAAGACTAAATGGTTTTTTCTTTCTCTAGGAAGTCTGCAAAGCACCCTTGTCCGTAAGCCAAGAGATTGCAGGAACCTGGTCTTTAACTGAAAAATCAAAGGTCACAACTACATTAAGCCTGATGTAAGATGGGTTATAACAGCAATACTATCATTATGTCAATCAACAGAGATATACAATTCATTCAGTGATATGGTAAATAAATTTCACATTTGAAATGTAATGGTAATAGGTTACCAGGAGAAAGAGCAAGCGTTGTTTACACTGTGACATTAAAGCAAGTAAATTCTTAGTTTTCTAGCTCTTACAATCACATGTTTGCAAGTATGGGGAAGTAAAAAGACAAAAGTATGAAAATGATATTCAGCAAGGAAGCATATTGCACTATACATATTGCACTACATAAATAATAGAATACCAACATTCAGGCCAAATCACATAAATTATGTGACAATATTGCCAGTCCAGAACATCTTTCTTTCCCACAAGACCTTGATTTATAAGATTTTTTTTCTACACGAGGATGAATACTGCATTCATTTTGGTCAACACAAAATAAAGGAGATGTGGAGACTCTGGAAAGAATACAGAGAATTTCAACAAAAATAATTAGGGGACTGAAGGTTAAAATGTACCAAGAACGGTTGCAGGAACTGGGTATGTCTAATCTAAAGAAAAGAAGGACTAGGGGAAACATGATAGTTCTGTTCCAATATTTGAGGGGCTCCTCCAATGATGAGGGAGTCAAATTATTTTCCATAGCACTGTTGGAAGAAATGTTCACTTGGGTTCAGTTCCAAGTGGGAAGAAAAATGCTGGAAACACGGAGACTGCTTGGAAGGATGGTTTAATGGTGGACAGGACCACATGGTTTTTAGGTCCTGGGCAAAAAAATGAGCACTTGGGTGAGAAAGGGAGAGAATTTTATATCCTCTGTTAGGCTTTGAACTTGCTTCCTGTTCCTACGGTAAGAAATGTATCCTGATTGGTTGTCAGACTTGGTAAATTTGTAGGTTGTCTTGAGTCCCAGGCTTGGTTGAATCTTGCTGGGTGATGTAGTTAAGGGGCTTTGGGCAATTCCTATTAAGGCTTAATGGCTTTGTCCTGGTTTGGATCTGAGTGAGGGCTAATCCTATCATGTCCTGAGAGTGAAGGTCTTTTGTGTTGTAGATAAGCTGGCCCAGCCTTTTATCTGTAAATAAGCTGGCACCAAAATATCTGCTGGGGTTGATTTTCTGTGCCCTCTAAGATTTATATTTCTCTTTTAGGGAAAAATATTCTTTTAATGTTTCCTAGAACAGTGGTTGCTAACCGGTGAGCCGTGGCCCACTGGTGGTCCGTGAGAAAAAATTGGTCGGCCACAGCGCACCCGTATCTGCAACAGGGGTGATACCGGTAGCAGATGGACTGATGCATGCAGGGAGGGAGGGCAGCGCATGGGAAATTGCAGCATCGGAGCCCTTCCCGGGTGTTCCCTAGCCTGCGAGGGGGTGCGGGCAAAGGAACCTTTCAACTGGTGGTGGGTGGTGGGAATCTGATGTCCGGAGGCTGACAAGCCACGTGCTGAAGACCAGATGGCTGGTGGGGAGGTGGGGCAATCCTGCAGTCTCTCTAGCAAGCCCGTGTCATAGCTGCTGCCTCCTGCCTCAGCGCATCAAGGAGGCCGAGCAGCAGTGGGAAGAGCGCGGACCTCCTGAGCTGCAGGAAGCGGCTACCAGCAATGCCCTCAGGTGGAGATGTTGAGGGGGAGGCTCAACCTCTCCCCTCAGGAGCTGCAAAGTGCTCGCAGCCCCTCTGGCACCTGCCAAACCTCCTCCTTCCCGCTGGGCATGTGAGCACTTCTTGAGAGGAGGAAGAGAAGCACTCCAGAAGAACTGTGAATGTTTTGCATCTCCTGAGGGGAAGGGTTGAGCCTCCCCTCACAACATCTTCACCTGAGGGTATCGCTGGCAGTTGCTCGACCTCCTCGATGTGTGGAGGCAGGAGGTAACGCCAGTTCAGAGGTTCCTTTCCCAGCAACTCCGAGTCATTTATTTAATATCAACTTGCTTAACTTTCATATGCCAGGCTGTTATGGAACAATCTAATATTTTTCTCTCCCATCTATATAAAATGAAATAATAACGATAAACTCTGCCAGTATTATCTTATATTTCCCACAGGTATCTATAAAAAGATGCCCTGTGGGGTAAGTAGCACTGAATTTGTACCATCAAGTGAGGACTAAATGTCCAGTAAAGGACATTATACTGTAAGGATTTTAGTGCAATTTACATTTCCTTTCACAGATCATAAGAATGATTTTATCCATTAAAAAGTCCATGAAGTACATTCTTTGTTGTTCTTCTAAAAATTGTCCTACAAATAGGAATGAAAGAGTCCTTATACAGCTTGCTAATAACATTTTTAAATATTGCCTTTCTTATACTACTGACTTCAGGCAAGAGATATAGATTTTCTGGAAACTGTTGAAGTGAGTATTATCCCAACTGACATTTTCATCTCCATATCCATTGCCCGCACAAGCTATATTACAGATAGTCCTCAACTTACCAACAGCACTGAAAAATGTGACTTATGACCAGTATTCACAGTTACCATCTTTGTAGCAGCCCCATGATCATGTGGTCAAAATTCAGATGCATGGCAACTGGTTCATAGTTATGACCATTGCTGAATCTCAAGGTCATGTGTATCACCTTTTGCAACCTTCTCACAAACAAAACCAACGGGGAAGTAAGATTTACTTTCCAACTGGGTTACTAACTTATCAACTGCAGTGATTCACTTAACAACTGTGGCAAGAAAGGTTTTAAAATGGGGCAAAACTCACTTAACAAATATTTCAGAAATTTGGGGCTCAATTGGGGTTTTAAGTCAAGGACTACCTGTACTTGATATGAAAACAATTAGATTGAGCCTATTTTATTAAGTTTGAATGGTTCTTTTAAAGAAAACAAATGCTCAAATGAGAAAAACCTTATCAGTATAAAATTTATCCATTTTTTTCATAGAGAATATATATGCTTGCTACTAGAATTTTTTTCATACTTGTTTCCCAAGTCCAGTAAGGAATGAAGGGCACATATTAGTTATATACACAATCTCTAGATTATATATATAATTTTAGGGAGTAGAACCAAGAGACCCTGAGTTCTAGTTCTGCCATTGGCATGAAACCTGGCTGGGTGACTTTTGGGCCCAGTCATTATACTTAGGCTTGATGTCAGGGCTTGGGCAACAAGCCAGTCAGTCAATTTCTGTTGCAACAAATGGATCAACACTTTCTTAAAAAAGACAAAAAAAAGGAGGGCCTCCACTAAAAAAAACCACTAGGAAGAAAAATGCATGGGTTGAAACCAGCAACAATATACAATACAACCTGGCTAGCCACATGAATTTGACAGCATTTAAAGTCAACAGCATTTCTATAATTATGGGGGGACTTCATTATAAATGGAACATAAAAATAACTCACAGTTCTGCTTAAGTATCTATTTTGTATAGAATCCAATTTGACTAATACATTTTCATTTACTTGTTTCAGTTATATATTTTGCACTTGTATGTGCATGCTTTGTTTTAAATTGTAAGCTGCCACGTTTTAACAGACACACAGTCAGACAGACACCTGTGGGTTCGCATTACTTCAGTGAGACAGGCCATGCTGGAAAGTGGGTTGGGCTGACTCCTAAATCTATATTATTTTTCTCTTTTAAATTGGTGTGCATTTGTAAAACGAAACGGTTGGGAGAATGCAAGCTGCCCCGGGGGCTTTGATACCTATCGTTACTCTTCACTTGCTGTTTTTCTTCTATTAAAAGCAAAAGAATTGAAGCCTTCTCTTTTTAATAGCCTTGTAACTCTGTAACCTCCATGTTTCAAGAATCACGTGGGAAAAACCAGACACCATTAATTTATCCCAACTAATAAAACCGTTTGAAAAGAAAGCTCAGCGGGAGAAAATATACTTAATTTACCCCCGGTCCTTTTATACAAAGCCAAAGTGGCAGTGTGCACATATAGTTTCCCCCCATTTCCCCCTTTGGTAAATACATGAAGTGCAGCTTGCACACCTACGTTCCAGCATGAGCAAAAAATAAAAGCAGCTTACCAATCTTTTTATAATGGTCATGAAAAGAGCGGGAAACCAGCACCGTTGCTGGAGCGCTCACCTTTTTAAATGGACTTGCAATCGTTGGTTGCGCTTCAATTTAGTCACTCCAGGCCCTGGATGGAACGAAGAAAGGCCACTGAATTATAGGACCCTGATCAGTCTCTCTCTCTCCTCTCTCTTACTTTGGATAGGCTCGCCCACCCAACCCCGATGCTTTCATGGGACTCGTAGTTCTCTAAAGCCCTTGCCCGCCTGATTCGGAAGGAAGGACAGCACTCAATCTCCCAAGAAGCTTTTCGCGCGCCCGTTGTCGCTGCGGACTGAGCATGCGCGGGTTAGTGTGCCTGTTTTCGTCGGCGGCCGCTGCAGAGCTTCAATGGGGGCTTACGATCATTCTCGGGTGCGGTTGTTTACGGGACTCGGAGGGGCTGGTTTGTTCCTGTTGTTGATAGTCCTGTATAGAGTCGGATCCGAGTTGGAGGTGGGTTGGCAAGCCGGATTAATAACAACGATCAGTTATATATGTCTCTATATAGAGGTGTTCAAAAGGCTTCGCAATGATTTTAATGCACTCAGAGTTCAATTGTAAATGAGGCTGCCAGATTTTGGCAGCGCAGATCTCATAGATCTAACAGTGGGTCCGTGATTGCCCTAAGTGATTTTTGAGAAAATAATTACAAATAATCAAAAACGATTGTTTTATCTCTTGACAAACTTAAATTATTAATTGATTTAGAATTCTTGAATAAGGTGAGAGCTTTGGTAAAATAATTTTGGATATTGAGTCCAATCAACCAAATATATATGTATATCAAATTTGCCATTATTCTTTTCAAAGTTGTGTTGAATTACAGTTGTCCTCACCATCGGGCAGCATGATTAGTGGATTAATATTGTGGCATAAAATAACACATCTAAAACACCCACCCACCCACAAACACACACAAATTGTCTAGTTCATCATGTCAATAAAAAAATGGAGCAAGGGCAAACATGGCAGTAGTTTCTTTGGACATACTTCAAAATGAAACCAAAAAAGGAAATGAGAGAGAGAAGTGTGGGAACTGACTGAGTAGGGCTTTCGAGAGCTTAAATAAATATTCTTGATGCTGGGGGGAAAAGAAATAGTTGGAGGTTAGCTTGGGCCAACTAATGCAAAGTTAATAACATTCTTTATATTCAGAATAGAAAGTTAATAACTTTCTTCTTTATATTTCAGGAGAAGAGGAAAACTTGCGTCCTCTCCACATGCCACTCTGCCCAAATTTAACTAAAAAAATCTTAAGGTTTGAGGCTGGCAAATCTGTGGACAGTTTAAGACACTGCAAAGGCTCAGTATAAGGAGAAAAAAATTGGACATTTCCTTATTTCTGATACCTTTATAAAGTGCTGGGGTTCTTAATGCCGTTTAGAGTGTTATCCTTGTGCCCCAACTGCTATGCTTATCCATAAATGGTTTTAATTTACTTTTCTCCAGATAGTTATAGCATTCCATTTTATTTTATCTTATCACTCCTTTTGCTACACTAACCTTCAGAGTGTGAGTAAGCACAGTGCAGTATCAGCTTCCCTGTTTTCCATTCAAATTGAAGCTATGGAAAATCTGAACCAGTGTCTGACATTTAGGAATGGATACAGTGAGAGCCATACACTGAAACCTAATCCAAAGAAAATGTATTTTTATTTATATTTCCTACCGTATTTCTAAACTGCCTGTCTCCTGCAGATACCATTAGGGTATCTGAGATAGGGATAGGGTTTGCCTAACCTGGAAGATGTCTCTCACTGTCTTTTAAATGGAACTGTACTTCTGATATGGATCAGTTTTAAGGATATCATTTAAGACCTCATCTTTCATCAGATGCTGATCCAGCCTATTAACCCCGAATAAGGATAATTTAGTACAATCATAAGACCAAAAGCCTAACTGATCCAAAATTCCAATCCATTACACATATCTAGTCAATTAGATATGTACAAGAAGCTGTAAAGCAGGGCCTGACTGAAGCAACCACATCTCCTTATATTCAAAATGAAATGATCTGTGATTCATGATATTCAAAATGAAATGATCTGTGATTCTGGAAAATAATGTATTCCTCTCATGACTTGTAGCTATTGTTTGCTGCTCCTTGTTTATTAAATTGATTGCTCTCCTTTTACGATTGCCACAGGTGACAGCCATCCCTACATCTTGTAGCAAATTCCATTATTCCAACACATCGTGTATCAAACTTTATTTCATTTTATCTGTTCTTGAACCATTGCCCAGCTTTATTGCCTCTAGATTTGTCCACATGCCACACTTTTCTCTACCTCTTGACATCTTTTCATTTAGTGCTTTTCTAGAACCAGATATACCCCAGCCAGAGGTTCCTCAAAGAGAATTGCTCTAACTCTGCCAAGAATGTGTAGATTATAACTCCCTAAATTAATCCGCCAGCATGATTATTGCTGAAAATTATAGGAGTAAATATCATAGTAGGGCATTCAAGGGAAAGGTGTTCTAGTGCTCTGATAATTTTGGTTGATGCTTAGTGCTTTTTTTTGGTTCTTTAATTTTTTTTGGGGGGGGGGCGCGGGAATGCAGTAATCAAAGCTGTATACTGTACAATATTCCAATTGTGAATACATTTTTTCTTCCACTCAATCAATCATGTCTGATTCTTGGAGACCGCCTAGACAAATCTCTACCATTTTCTTGGCGTGGCTTTTGGGAAGTGGTTTGGCACTGCCTCTTTCATAGGACTGAAGGAGAGTGACTGGCTCAAGGTCACTCGTCTGCCTTTGTGCCTAAGGTAGGACTAGAATGGTCTTCTGCTTTCTAGCCTGATGCCTTCACCGCTGTACCAAACTGATTGCAAAGTATATCCATGCAAAATCCAGAAGTATAATACTCCATATTTTACATTCTGAATTCAATTAATATTTGCTTTAAAGTATTGATCGTGTGTTGTTTGGGTGCCCTGCGTATTGAGGAGCAGCTTTGCCAAAGTGTTACTTAGTACTTTTTATAAATGACAACTTCAACCACTTCACAATCAGTCGTAATTATCTCAGAATACTTCACTGTATCACCTCTGATGTTGGAAAGTTTTTGCTAATATGCAAGATTCACACTTAATTAGCAAATCGTATCTGCTGTTTTAACATTCAGTTTCCCAATTTGAAGGGAACCTTTTGAATGATTTCACTTTCCTTTTTAATTCTGAATTATTTATGTGTAAATAAATTTAAGCTAGATTTTTTTTTTGAAGCCTGCATTTTTTTCCCTTCAAGGAATTGCATTTACATGAGCCTTCTTCCCCTGTTGAATATCATTTAGTTGTAGTGAGACTGCAACTCTAAGAAGTCTCAACCAGATTTCCATATTATGGAATATTTGACAGTATATAACCATCTTTTCCAATTAATCCCTATTCGTGTGCCGCTGTCCCAACAAAATTGATCTTAACAGAATGATGTTGATTTCCTGGCATTACTTGGTCTTCTCTAGACAAGTAGAGAAGCCAGATCATTGGACTTTACAGTATAAATACTGATGAGGATAAATTATAGTTTATGAGTGTATGGATAGTGACACATTCCAAATTTTTGTGTTGCTGTCGTTGGCTGATTTCTGCAAAGCTAAATGAATGAAAAACTGCTGGTAACCTTCTACCGCTGCACCATAGAGAATATTTTAACGTACTGCACCTCTGTATGGTTTGCCAATTGCACAGTGGTAGATAGGAAAACACTCCAGAGGATTAATGTCATTGCCCAGAAGATCATTGGTTGTCCTCTCCCCTCTTTGGAAGAGCTTTATAGCTCCTGCTGCCTTAAGAAAGTTCAAAACGTTCTCAAAGATCCATCTCATCCTGGGCATCCCTTTTTTTTTAACTATTACCATCTGGCAGATGGTACAGAATAATAAAAACAAGGACAAATAGGCTGAAAAACAGCTTCTATCCCAGGGCAGTAGCTCTTTTGAATTCTGCTGTATAGTGCAGTGTTGGTGTGGTGTCGGGGGTTTCTGGTTCAATGTGTGAAGGGTGAAGGATGTGTGTGTGTGTGTGTTTATTTTCATGGTCATGGTCATGATGTACACTGAAGATGGTGTTTGATTTCATTGTACGAGGTGCAATGACAGTAAAGTAAAGTAAACTGAACTCAGCAGAGTTGTCAAGGAGACCTCTCCTCTTGTGAGCTAGACTAGGAAGTTGAGAAAATTTTGAAGAACAAGAATGGAAAAATCAGTTCCATATTATTGCCAGGTATACAAGTAGTCCTCAACTTACAACCATTCATTTAGTGACCATTTGAAGTTACAGTAGCACTGAAAAAAGTGACTTACGACTGTGGTAGCATCTTCATGGTCACACGATCAAAATTCGGATGCTTGGCAATTGACCTGTATTTATGACAGTTGCAGTGTCCCTGAGTCATGTGATCACTTTTTGCGACCTTCTTACAAGCAAAGTTAATAGAGAATCCAGTTTCATTTAACAGCCACGTTACTAACTTAACAAATTCGATGATTCACTTAACAACTGTGGCAAGGAAGGTCATAATATGGGGCAAACGCACGTAGCTGTCTTGCTTAGCAATGGAAATTTGGGGCTCAATTGTGGTCATAAGTTGAGCATTACCTGCATGCATGCGTCCATGTAGGGGGGAGGAATTGATCTCAACTTGGAAAGAAACAATACTTACCACCTTGTCTCTGGGTGGGGCTGTTTGAAAATGCTTTGAAGTTTTTTTTGTTTGTAAATGAATAAAGTTGTTTAAAAGTGTTTTTTCCCCTCAGCTAAATCAATGCATATGATTGAAGAAGGAGGGTTCCCTCAAGTTAGACCTAAACATTTGTCTTTTAATGCTCTCTCGGCCTAATCTACCTCACAGGATTGTTGTTAGGGAAAAGAGGAAACAGTATAGCAAATAAATCTAACAAAGAGGTGGAGTTAACCCTTTCTGGACAGATCAATTTACTAATAGCCGGAATGATGCCTCATGGTAAATCAGACCACTGTTTAACGGTATTGTTTCTGTGCTTAATTTGTAAGGTGTTAAATCAGTGGACTACTTATTCACTGTGGCAGATACAGAAACCACTCTACAAGCTTGATCTAGAGTGGCCGAAGTTTCCAGAAGAATTTACTGGTCAAACATTTTGTGTCGCTGTTGATCATCTCCAGGGATTAGTCTACGTGGGACAGGTAAGAAACAACAAAATCAAAATGTTTATGGAGCCACTATACTTACCCAAGATATAGTTATTACAGTGAGGAGGTGAATAATACAGTGTTGTAATCCTGCATGATTCCGCTGCTAAGCATCCCGCACGCTGCATTTGACCCCTGAGCCTTGACACCTCTGCTTTACATTGTTACAAGATTTGACTTTGGAAATGTTGTTCTAATTAAGTTGATGAATTATTTCTTTGTTACATTTAGCCTTTCTCAGTTTCAAAATTACTCTGGGCAGTTTCATACAGTTAAAAAATATTACATTAAAAACCCTGCATGCCTTTTTCCTATAGTTCTTCAAATTACACACACAAAAATGTGCTTGAAATTAGCAACATTTTATAGCAGAGAATTTTACTGCATCTGAGATTATCTAAAATATTTATTCTTCCAATTCTACATAAAGCCTTTTATTTGGCTTCCGGTGTCTGTGGTTCCTTATTACAGCATCCCAGCCTTATTAATATCGAACCTATTACAATAACTTTATTGTCTATTGTCTATCAAATTATGGTTTTCACTGAAAAATGGAGATATTTTCAAGTTAAAAGCTAGATTTTATATTTCCGGAGATGTGACTGTGATTTTATTTTGGCGGCTTTTTTTCAGATGGCATCCAGATTCTCCTATTTCAGCATCTGATGGTACTTTGCTCAGATGTGCAAAGTTTTCTCACAGTTTTCCTTTGAAGTCTGTGATCTGGTTTGCATAACATATTGTGACGTGGCCTAAAATACTGTTTGAACCCAGATCATAAGACAGGCTGATCATGATCTGAAACCATGACTTGGTTTAATTTATTTATCCAGTGGAGGTCCAATCTGTCATCTGAAGCGTATGCTACTAGCATACAGAGTTTGTATTTCTAAGAAAACGAGGCTAGGTAGCAGGAATAAATTGGAGCTAATCCTACATAAATGAAGATTGAATTAGGGACACAGAAGAGTGGGCGAATTACCCCTTCCTCGTTATATATGCTGTCTGTTAGCCCCAGTTGGATTAGTATGGGCTTGTAAGTTTGTGGGTATGAAAATAAATGAGAAGGGCTGGTCATTCGGCCAACATAAACATGCAGAAATTTTGATTGAAGACTGGGAAACCATACCATGCCATATTTGCCTTTTGTACATGTTCGCTGAGTAAATACCTCACTGGGATCTACAATCTTTAGCGTGTTGTGTGAACACATCTGTAACGCAGATTCCATTTTTTTCCCCAATACATTACCCCAAAGAGGAATCTGATTATTTCCTTTCTTTAATTTATACAGTCCTCTCAAATGATACATCCCTCTCATCTGACTCTATAAACCTTGGATAAGTGAACGTGCTGTTTTAAAGTTTATTGTGTTATTTTCTTAATAGATTAAAAGTCAAACCCTAGAATAGTGAACCAGCTGCTGTACTGTTTGGTCATCTCTTCATAGGAACAGCTCCAAGTAATCCATCTTAATGTCTAGTTTTCTTCCGTAAATCTGGCAATAAGTACATTGCAGGTCTGTGTATATTTTTAAATTGTGGTGTGCTCATACTTTTCAAGCAGCAATGGCTAAAAACAATTAAACATTGAAAGGCCCTTGTATAATTGCAGCATTTCAAGATCAGCCTAAAGCTCTTTAAAGCCTGAAATGTATTTTTAAGGGATGTAATGCGTCTAAAATTAATCTGAATTCCCACTGTTGTAATTACAAAACTTTAATAAAATTACTGTAATTTTTTTTTTAATTGGCCTGAATTCCCAAACTATTGAAAAACAGCCAGGGTAAGACAGATTGATAAAAGGAAAATTGAAGACCAGACAGCTAGACTTCTGGATCTCTTCATGAATTGCTGGAAACCGTGAGCTGTTTCCCAGCTGTAGCTTTAACAGATGATACCAACGTGGCAGAAGCAGCAGAGGCTGCCTTTCTGTAAAGAGTTTTGCTTTGGGAAATATTTTGCGACTGTCAACCAGAGACATAAGTACAGCTGCCATTTTGAAAACAGTCAAGGAATTTGCGGTCAGTACAACAGTGGAAACAAAATCCAGCGTTATACCGGTATATGTCCTAAGCCAGTATTGTAGGATTCCTGGTGAATTTCTTGGGGCAGTTAAAAATGACTGGTTGCAATCTTTAATGTACTTCCTAACTTGGGGGTTTGTACTTAAAGCCCCCCACATCTCCCCATTGAACACCATTCTTAGAGTACGACAGGTAACTAGGAGAGCCAGGACATTTTTAAAAAAAAAACACACCCTCTGACAGGAATGCTCATGGGAGTTCAGGCTTTTTGAATTCTCAATCTAACGCAAGGGGTCTTCAAACTTGGCAAGTTTAAGACTTATGGACTTCAACTTCCAGAATTCCTGAGCTAACATGACTGGAAGAGGAATTCTGGAAGTTGAAGTCCACAAGTCTTAAAGCTGTCATGTTTGAAGACCCTGATCTAAAGCAATATGATCAGCACCAACCAGGCTGTTGTGTAAGTTGCAATGCAGTTGTCCTTCATTTTGCTCATATCTCTGTATTGTATAACAAAATTCTCAGTTTGGGAAAAGTGCCTAGGCTATTATTAGGCTATTATTATTAATGCTAATTTTATGAAGCTAAAATACATTAGCATTCTTTGTGATTAAAAAAACATATGTTGAAATGTGTTTTGTTTTTACGTGGATATTTTAAAAAGAGAGCCATGTTGTTGGTGTAGTTGTTAAGGCATTGGACTGGAGACCACAAGTCTACGCCTGCCTTGGGTACAAAGCCATCCAGGTAACCTTGGCCCAATCACTCTTTTTTATTCCTAAGAAGTAGGCAGTGACCAACCACTTCCAAAATCTTGCCAAGAAAACTACAAGGTTTAGTCCAGGCAGTCACCATGAAATTCAAAAATGTTCCCTACTGGCTCTGTGGGCGTGGCTTGGTGGGACTTAGTGTCTAAAAGGAAGAAGGCGGGTGGGCATGGGTGGGCCAACTGATTCAAATCGTCCCTACTACCTCTCCCAAGGTGGTGCGAGGTGGTTGAATTTCACCCCTGCACCAGGAGTCAACAATGACTCAAAAGCATTTTTTAAAAAGTGCATTTATGTGGCAGCAATGTGACAGATTGAGGAATGAATAAATAAAGCAATACTGGTTGGAAATAGTCTGCCCTCTGCTCTTTCGTTTATGAAATATCCTTAAGCGGTGTGGATGGAAGGCAAGTTTGTATGGTGCCAAGTTTGAGGTATTTTAAGCCAAGTGCAGGATTTAAAAATAAGTGGATAAGTGGATCTTTTAAAATGTATCATGATGCTCTAACTTTTTTACCGTGCTTTTATTTCACTCTTAGTTTTGCAAAAGTTAATTTGGAACCCTCTATTATTATATGTTGTCCATACAGTATTTATAGCTCTTTTGGAATATTTTCTTATTATTTCTGGACCTGTGATTTTTATTTAGTTACAATTCTGTTTGTCCTTCAGAAAGGCTTCTCATTGAATAGCGAAAGAGATTAAATTTGGATTTATTGGAACCTTCATTTAGGTACCTGAATCTCAAATGTTCAAATGCTGAGCACAAGTAAGAAGGGAAAGGCTATTGTCTTCTTGGGCTGCTGTAAAGCTATCTGAAAGTACTTTCCTCTGTCTTTTGCCTTGAGCTAAATACTTGGGCGCCTTTCTTACATTTGGAATTCCAAATGCAGCCTTTCCAAGCCAAACATGGCCATTGTTGAAAATCCTGAAAGTTAATGTCTGCATAATTGAAGGATGCTTGGGTTAGGGAAGCGTGGACTAATTTTTTCAAAATAGCCGTAAGAATTTCCTTAATCAGCACACAAAATGATGGGTGTCATTTATTGTACTGCTATATCGGCTTTTCAGGAAATATTGGTTTTCCTTGGACCCACCAATTACTTACTTTTTACATAGCTGCGCTGGCGCACTCTGAAACCTGAGAGAGGTGAAATGACTAGTATTTATTTAATATGTTTATTTTCCTTGTTTATTTTTTGGGGAGGTAACTACACTTGGTCAGGCTCCTTGCAGTTACAATATAATAATGCTTAAGGCTATTTACTGCATGAGGAGCTGTAATGAAAAAAAATGATTGGATTTTTCTGTCTGTCATACCCCCACCCCCCTTATTCTCTTTTTTGTTATCTTTGCGCACCTTGAGAGAGGTAATGAAGATGTACCAAAGGTCTCAGTGTACTCTGAGGAAGGCTATCTTGTACAAACATGGAAAACAGCCACCATTGAGATGCCCCATGGAATCTTTGCACTGACCACACCCAATGGAAGTTCTGTGTGGATCACAGATGTAGGAAATGGTGCGTAGAAATATTGTTGTTTTAACGTGGAAAAAGAATGCTGTTGTGTATCTTATGTTTTGCAACTGAAGGTGTATTTTGGATTGAATTTAAGTTGAGTTGCTGCCCTTCCCCAAAAATAAATTGGAACCCAAGATTAAACATAGGTCATATATATTTACAATAAACATATATCAGTCTGGTACTCATCAGTTATTTCAGTTTTCAAATTCTATAAGTCCAAATGAGTGTGGACTATGCGCAATGAAATCTGAAAGATAAGAGTCATTTTAAGACCTCATATCAATCTTTAAAAAGCATCGGTCACCATTAAAATGTCAGCATATAATAACCAATAATCAAACCTAGAATAAGTGTCTTCAAAACCAAACAATTGGTTAGGTAGCTGACCCAGGTTGACCCTCTTCTAACCACTTTAGTTTGTTTCTTAAGATTTTCTTCCATATTCTTAAGCTATTATCCCTCCTTTTTCAGATAAAAGAGGACAGTGATCTTTCCAACTGAGTGTTAGCAAGCCAAGCATTGCTTCCACCAAGGTTTCTAGTCATAGTAGTCAAAAGTCCTTGATGTAATATTTCATCTTCATAATGGGTTTTCAGTGATAGAAAAATATGGTAAGGATACTTATAATGGGAGTTGGTATCAGCACCTGGTGTGCTTTTTGAAATTCTGTGACTGAGAAGCACATCAGTGCAAACCAGTGGTGGAATTCAATTTTTTTTACTACCTGTTCTGTGGGTGTGGCTTATTTGGTGGGTGTGGCTTGGTAGTCATGTGACTGGGTGGGCATGGCCAACGGAATGTCACTCACATCAAGGGCTGCCTCACCTGGCCCCTCCCCTCCCAGCCATTTCTTGTCACCCAGCCTCAACTTATCTATTGTTCTGTAAAAATGTTGTTCACCTTTTTCACCTTTCATGGACCACTGAAAGGAGGAAATGGCTCACATGCTTTACTCAAGAGTGTGATAGGCAAGAGGCTTTTAAGGGGCTGCCACAAAGAAAGGGGGACAATGTATTTTCCAAAGAAGCAGAATGCAAACAAGAAGCAATGGGTGGAAACTGAACAGAGAGAAGCAACCTAAAACTAAGGAGAAACTTTCTCACAGTGAGAACTATTAACCAGTGGAACTGCCTGTCTCCAGAAGTTCTGGGTGCTCAATCACTGGAAGGTTTTAAGAAAAGACTGGACAGCCATTTATCTGAAATGGTATAGAGTTCACCCCAAGGTCCCTTCTAAGTATTATTCTGACACCTTTCCCAGGATTTCTACTCTCACCTATCCTCAGTTTTCTTGCCTGAGCTGGGGGTTGGACTAGAGGACCTCCAAGGTCCCTTTCAACTCTTGTTAAACACATGTGTATTTTATGCTCTGGACTATTGACATTGAATGCATGTAAACCCTGAAAAATATGTGGTAGCCCTGGGCAAAAGAAAGGCAGAAAAATCACTCTAGGTGTAGGGATAGTGTAAAATATTAACACATGATAAATAATGGAACAATTAAAAATAATAGCACAGAGTTTTATCTCTCTCTCTCTTCCTATTTTCTCTCTCTCTCTCTCTCCCTCTCTCTCCCTCTCTCTCTCTCTTTCACACACACCACACACACACACACACACACACACACACACACAGAGCACTTAACAGACAAGCATTTTGGAAGCAGCTCCTTTAAATTTCTCCAAGGCTGGAGTGGATTCCCCCACCCCCTCTGTCAGACCGCATTCCTTCTCACTCTAGCAGTTTAACTCACAAGGGGAAAGCGATACTTGCAGCATCCACGGGAAATCCTTGGAGAAGTTTTTAAAAGACCTGCTTCCAAAATGCATTTCTTTTACATTGCAAAAGTGCTCCAAGGCTCGATTCACCCCCACCCCCTCTGTCAGAGCGCACTCTTTCTCACTCCCGACACTTTAACTCACACGAGGAAAGCGATACATGCAGCATCCATGTCTTTTTTCCTTTTTCCCGGGGAGAAAGAGGACGTGGGGAATGGAAAGCTAGGAGAGTGATCGCAAGTGAGCGACCAGGCAACTGGATTGGGGGCGTTGCCAGCCAGGGATTGCCACCGGTTCGGCGACCCATGCCAAATAACCGCTACTGGTTCACCCGAATAGGTGCGAACTGGTTGAATAGCACCTCTGTTGCTAACCCCAGAATCTCACACACCTTGTGAAAAGTTCTACAGGTAATGCCCAAATGTGTGTGCAGTTTGGCTACAGCTCAAACAAAGCATGCAGTGCAAATAGCTGATGACTGCATTCTTGTTTTAGTAAGTCATTTCTCCCCATCAGAGTGGGAAGAAAGGGGGTTGTTAATAGATAGTAGCACTGAAGGGTTTGGGCAGTGTGAAAACAAAAGGCTTGTGGCACTGTGGCAGAATGTGTTCAGTGTTTTCGCAGGTACAGCACTACAACTGACATGGCTGCAGCCTGATTCTTTTTTTATGCTTGACAAAAAAAAAATCTGTTTCCAAACATCATAGCATGGATCGTTTAATTAACGTTTGGTTATATGGGGTATCTGCAGCCTGTACCCTATTATTGAATTCTTTTCACACCTCTGCAGATCTTGTTATTTATTCAAAGTTGCAGGAGAATGAAGACGAAAAGGAGTTGCCAATCAAGGGGTAGGGAGAGAAAAGGCAGGAACAAGGGTTCATTATGAAGAAGCCTGTGTGATGCAGAGCAGAAAGTTTCTATACAGGCCATCTTCAACTTAGGACCACAATTGAGTGCAAAATTTCTGTTGCTAAGCGAGACATTATGATGGAGTTTTGCCCCATTTTATGACGGTTCTTGCCGCAGTTGTTAAGTGAATCGCTGCAGTTCAGTTAGTAACACTGTTGTTAAGTGAATCTGGCATCCTCATTGACTGCTTGTCAGAAGTTTGCAAAAGGTGATCACATGACCCCATCACACTGCAACTATCATAAATATGAGCCAGTTGCCAAGGGTCCAGATTTTGATGATATGCCCATGGGGATGCTGCTATGGTCCCAAGTGTGAAAAGTGGTTATAAGTCACTATTTTCAATGACGTCGTCACTTTGAACCATCACCACACACACACACATGGTTATAAGTCAAGGTTTACCTGTACATAGAATCCAGAAGTTCTACCAATTTGCCTCAGAAGAAGGTAGGGAATAGATCCTTCTTTTATCTGTAAGTCTGTCATACTTGTGACCTCGTTGGAAAATCTCAACTTCTCCTTGATGCAGGAAAATATGGACATACAGTGAAACAGTACAGCCCATTAGGTGAACTCCTCCGAGTCATAGGTACTCCAGGTAGAGCAGGTTCTGATACGGAACCTCTACAGTTTGACCAGCCAGCGGAGGTCTTTGTGGAACCAACCGGAAACATTTACATTGTGGACGGTGATGGAGGACTAAATAATCGCTTGCTCAAATTGACAGAAGGTAAGCAAATGTATGTTTAAAATGTTGATGCCGGGTTTTATTTCTAATGTGCTGAGGTACCATTTTCTGGGCTACCATAACCTGGTCTGTGACTGGACCAGCAGCCCTGTTCCATGAAGAAAAGCTTTTCCAGGGACCGGAGCGGGGCGTGGTTTCTCATGAGGCCTCATCCTGAGGATGGGGCTTTGCTTGTTTGCACGGCCCGGTTTCTGGCATGCTGTGGCCCGGTGCCGGTCCACAGACCAGGGGTTGGGGACCCCTGGATTGGACTATAACTTATAGAATATGAGACTCATATCTGGAGACATAAGACTGGGAAAGGCTGCCTTAGTAGCTTTTTCTATGATAACAGAACACATTAGGAGTGCTTAAGTGGTTTGTGTTTTTGATGCAATCAGCATTAGCTGTTGACCACACGAATGTCTCCATGTGGTTTTCTTGGCAACAATATGCCAACATTGTTCTTCTTTCGGGAATATTATTTTTAAACTTTGCCGTCTAGCCTACAATGACGGGGCTTCCAGGTAGCCTCTCTTTTTCAAGCATTAACCAGATTCAATCCTGGTTAGCTTTTTTGAGATTAGCCAAGATTTTTGGAGGTGCAACCACTTGCTGTAAGTCATTTACACAGACGATGAGATTCTAAATAAGGAAATTGAGTCTTCTCCCATGTACCTCAATTCTTGGTGACTCATAGATTATGATCTTAGAGCCTCTGCAAACATAAGCCACCAATATGTATACAATTAATGCTGCAAATTTACTGATACCTTATCCTTTTATAAGATTCAAATACTTTTTCAGTAATATTCTGGTGATATCTTAAGAACTTAAACAGCATTATTTTGCAGAATGGAATAGATATATTAATAGTCAGAAAGCTGAAGTCCTAATGTATTCTGCAGTGGAAAGCTAGATTATCATATTTAATGCATATTGATGAAATATAACATGGTATTTTCTGAATTTTTATGACACAAATGTGCCTGCTTTATTTTCCCTAATGTTAGGCTTTCTTCCGTTTCCCTCTGTTGTGATAGAATAGCATGACTATACCATACAAAATGTTAAACTCCTTTAAAGTGCAAGGCAACTTTTTTGGCTGTAGATGAGGGGAAAAATGTTTATCTTTTTCAGAAGCAGTTTGGTAGCTTTCAAAATAAAAATCGAGTTAGAAGTCTCAAAGCATCTCATTGCACTCGTTTTTATATCTTTGACAAGGTGTATGAATTAGGACAATAAAAGATTCATACGTATCCCTGGACTGTGGGTTCTCTACTCCTGTTTTTGTTTTAATTCTGATGTTATACTGTAAACTCATTGCAGGAAATAATGCTTGATCAACAACTTTTTATCCACAGACTTAAAGATTCTATGGCTACGTGGGGAGAATGGTACTGCTCCTACACAATTTAGGATTCCACACAGTGTGACGGTGGATTCATTTGGGCGGGTAAGGGAGCAGTGATAATTTTGACATAATAGCATAAACATTAGAATACTACTGATCACACTGATGAGGATACTGTTGGCAAAGCTAACAGCCAATATAGCTTTCATTGTCTCAGCGCTTTGTATGTGCGCAAGATAACACACATACAAAAGGAAGGTTTCACTCATGCAGTTTGCCAACTTGACTTTTTAAAATCCCCAGACCTCCCTCCACTCCCAGTGCCCTTAAAAATTGCCTTGATGGCTATTCAAACCATTTGGGTGGATTAAAAAATTGTACATATTGCTTGAATATCAAGATTTGGTTCCTCCCCAACATAGATTAATGAGGTGCTGATTATTAATTTAGAGTGCAATCCGTTTAAGTTAGAAAATGTTTGTGTATTTCTTTCTCGGTGTTCAGAACAGTGTCTTTGTTTGCACCAGGTCTGGGTTGCAGACAGAGCCAACTGGAGAATCCAAGTTTTTGAAAAAAGTACTGGGGAATGGTTAGGATCTTGGGATAACTGCTTCACAGAAGATGGCCCTTACTCTGTAAGGTATGGTATCTGTGTGCAGGGGTGGGATTCAAATTTTTTAACAACCAGTTCTGTGGGTGTGGCTTAGTTGGTGGGTGTGGCTTGGTGGTCATGTGACTGGCTGGGTGTGGCCAACTCAGTATCACTCACATCAAGGCACACATCTCCTAGCCTGGCCTCTCGTGACTGGGGATGCTGCAACAGTCGTAAGTGTGAAAAAGGGTCATAAGTCACTTTTTTCAGTGCCATTGTAACTCTGAATGGTCACTCCACACAAGCAAAGTACCAGCAAAGGAGGAGAAAAAACCTCCAGAGACGTTCCAGAGACAGGAAGTCTAGTCCTGCCAAGAATGTAATAAAGGTTAATGGAGAGGCAGTTTCTGTAAGCAACCCCAGAATGTTTCCTTCCTGCCTTCCTTACAGGATTAGGCCAGTAATTTCTTCCAACAACCAGTTCTCCAAACTACTTAGAATGTTAACAACCGGTTCTAGCGTATAGGTGCAAACTGGTAGAATCCCACCTGTCTGTGTGTATGCACGCTAGTGTGTGTCCATTGGATGGGAGAGAAAAACTTTTCAACTAACTAATTGAACAAGGAACCTTTTGTGTATAGGATTTCTGACAAAGGTTTCAATTCCTAGGATAGAGCCAGATAAGAGTTACTGTATGTAGCACTCTGAATGCACCAGTGGGTTCACCAACAATTTGCACTCCCCTGATTTTGAATCACCTTAATTATAATTTTTTTCATATCCTTTTTGAAAGTGAGCTGCCAGGGAGTGGTAGCCCTGGCATTTTTTCTGTGACGTTGACCTGAAAAAGCTCAACTTCACTTTCCATTAAACTGCCTGATATTTTAAAGTGGCATTTGGGTGGGATCCAAGTATTCACTGAGTGGAGTTGGAAACAAACTAGAATGGGAGATGATATTTGTGTTGTTTCACCACACACACACATACCTTCTTCACCCCAGTGTATTTTATGCTGTCAGAAAGGAAGGTTGAGTTCTAGGAAAGGGAAGTGTAGCTGAAAATTGTTTCCTCAAGCGAGAAACCCTACACCCTGTTTTGGATCATGGACAATTTAAATAATTTCCATTCTGTTTAAATGTATAGTTGCAGTGAAGAGGATTAAAGTGGGGTTTTATGCATTCTTTTATTGACATACTTTTTCATGTGTAGTAATCTCACTATTCTGGAACTGTATGAAATAATTGTATTTTGTCATGGACCAATAAGAGTTTGTAATAACGAGTCTGTGGATCACATTTTCTTAGTAGTATTGATGTTTTTTTAAAAAATGCAAAAATATTATACCTCTGAATATTGAAATTGTTTCCAAACAACAATTTTTGTTTTGTTTTGTTATTGAAGGGCAACTGTCACTTTTCTTAATTTGCACCAACATGCCTATTGAAAATTGGCTCCAAAAGAGACTCCCACCAATAGGATTTTCAAAAAGCTCTTAGGATAGCATTTCAGGCAATGTGGTTATCTATAGAGAGAGCAGTGTTGCCTCAGATCCAACAGAAATGGATATTGCTCACAGAATGAGATCTTTTAAGATTCAACGTTTCCTTTTTTTAAAAAAGTTTCCTTTTTCCCCTTCTGTTTACAGGTTTACTCCCGATCAGCAGTATATAATTGTGGCCCACCTAAATATTGATAAGATTTCTATCTTGGCAGCCCCACCAGTAGGATTAATTGGGGATTGCATTGTAGTGGACACAATCCAGCTTGCAAGAGAAGTCAAGCCTCATCTTCTGGATGTCAGCCTAAGTACCGGAGCCATATATGTGGCCGAAATTGGAGCTGAACAAGTACAGAAATATGTACCTTTGGACTAATGGTATCTTTCACGCCATACAAGCAAGTGTGGAATCTCGTCCATCACAACCAGATGGGGTTAGCTGCAGTTCTTAGGACTCCTCTGTCTCACAGCTAATGGCTGTGCTGGTTGGTGTGCATATCCTTAGGAACAGCTGGCTGAGGGATTTTGCTCTCCTGGATGGCGTGATCTCTCCAGTTGTGCAATACTTGAAATAACTAATGATGCATTCTGTGCATTTATCTCAGGGAATGGTCTGTCTTTCAGTATTTTAGCCAAGTTTTACAGACAGTGTTTTAATTGGGTTTTTTTTTTTTCAGATAAATTATTTCTCTTGCAATACAGTTCCAAGAGTCTTTCTGTTCATTCTTTTAACATAATCAGACTTACGCGCTTGCAGTGGTTTTACCGCCAGCCTTAAATTTGTTTACAGTCAATGGGAGACAACAGCATATTTGATTGATTAATTAATTAAGAGGGAAGGAAGGAAGGAAGGCTATTGCAGTTATCTCAGGAAGCAACTCCTGCTCCATGAGTAGATATGGTAACATCTTTGAAAAATATGAACTGCACTTCAGCATTAGCAGAGCTTGGACCATTGGCAGTCCTTGTCCACTGAAGGTTTTTCTAAGCACAGCCCCTATTCAAAGGCAACTTAAAGCGTTCCTTCAATTGCTCGTCCGTTTTCCTGTTATATTTTGGTATGGTTCTCTGAAATAAATATTTTTAAAAATACGATAGGTTGTGACTGTTCAGCCTACCAAAGCTAATTCCATACATTATAAGTTGCCTTGTTTTATATTCATTATTGTGATGGGTCTTATCTTTTAAAGAAACTTTTTTGAACAATGAACATGTCTGTTACTTTTTAAGCAAAGCAAAGCTAACAGCAATTTATAATCTGCACAAAAAAGCACTGTTTGGGATATTGACATGTTATAAACATGTTAAAGACAGCATTATATGTAAACCATTTGTGACATAAATGTAAAGAGGGACAACTTAACAACAGCAGGTAGACCACTTTAGAATTGACAGTAAAGATGCCAAAATAGTGGATAGTCTCTTGTCTTTTATAATCGACTGTCAAACAGTACAGGAATAAGCAGTCAAGAAAAAAGGGCTGCAGATTGGAGCTCTGTAGAGCAGCGACAAAGGCCTTGGAAACGATATTCGAATGCTGAGATGCATCTATGTTGTGATATGGTCCCTAAGAATCAAAAACCTGATGACACATAATCCGTCTTATCAATTAACTACGTAACATTATTCCTCTGAACTTTGCATCTGGGTTACTCTGCTCCAAAAGTTCCTGCAAGATATTAGGATATTAACAACTTTGACCTACATTGCTTTGAACCTGAAATTGTAGGATTGTGAGGTAAAAGAATCCTAGGCGGCAAAGGCAAGTCACTTCTAAATAATAACACACACACACACACACACACACACACACACACACACACGTGTCATGGAACTCCTGCTGACTGGGAACTGACCTGCGTGAGACATATCTGTTTCCTTAATTCGGGAACATTTCCATATTTTAATCAAAGTTGCTCTATTCCCTGGAATAATTTCCCTTTCTAGTAGAGATAATCTTTGATTTACAACAGTTTGTTTAGTGACCATTCGAAGTTACCTCACCCCAAAAAGGGACTTATGACCGTATTTCACACAACCGTTGCAGCATCACTCGCTTACACGATCAGAATTCAAATGCTTGACAACTGAGGTCATATTTATGACCTTTGTTGCGTCCCAGAGTCACATTATCCCCCGTAGCGCCCTTCTGGCAAGCAAAGTCATTGGAGAAGCCTGATTCACTTAACAACCACGGCAAGAAAAGTCGTAAAATGGAGCGAACTCATTTTAACAAATTTCTCACTCAGCAACATAAATTCTGGACTCAATTGTGGCCATAAGTTGAGGACTACCTGTATATTCTTTCCAAAATATTCACATATATTCTGATATTTCAGGTCCTACAGCTACACGAGCCGTTCAGGGCCCATGTACAATCGCAGCTACACAGGATGGAACTCTCTTTTTATGACCATTTTGGAACTCGATTCCACATATGGAGACAGGGGCTACTGCTGGGTACCTCTCTTCTCTGCTGCCAGAGAAGCCAGGCAGCTTTGTATTAGGAGGCATACGTGGTTGGGACCTTTTAACCCGTCCCTTTTTTGTCAAAGGAAGCAAGGACACCAATTTCCCCTTTATTCTCTTGCATTCTGTTCCAGCGTGTGGCATGGCATCATGACTGCAAATATCTCTCTTCTATGATCCATACAGAGAAAGATTAAGCCACAGGTAGTCAGCCTTTGCTTAGGTTTAGGACTAAGCCAAATATTTGATTATATGAGGAAAAACGTACAGATGAAGAAGACATTTATTCGTACAGATTCTAAAGTACCAACAAAATAGTACATTTTATATTGCGTTATAAAAATGAATATTAAACAATACAGCACAATACAACAATAATTATTAACAGTATTAGTAATAAAACCTGGAAGATGCTTTTCATTGCCCTTGTATAAGTAGTAATATTCTACTGTGCCGTACACATTAGTGTCAGTGGACAGAGGTGTCCCTTTGTAGGAATACTCTTTTTATCTAAAAGGCTACATATGCTGAGTATATAATATTGCATTTTTAATAACATTGAAAATGTTGAGATTAATAAAATCGATATCAAATTCTGAAAAATGACAATAAAACTTGAGATCACATCTACACTATATAAAATACTGGAAAAAAAAATGGCCCGTAAGTCCATTAGTCGTTTGTTTAAAATGTGGCATAATACTGAACTTCAAATTTATCACACGCGCACACACATACAAAAACAAACTAAGTGCACAGAGTACTTATTGCAACTGCTCTATTCCACAGTATTGGTATTGGGGGGGGTCTTCCCCCCCATAATGCAATGGAGTGGGAGGGGCAAAGCATTTTCTCCCTGAATGTTCCAACTCTGATACTGGTTGTGGATCCGATCCCTTCTGAAATATTTGGGTTGGAACATTCTGGTTGCAGCCTTTGCATCCTGTAGCAATGATAACGCGGGAAATGTAGTTGGTTGCAAAGAAATAAGACTGGCCCAGTAAAAATGGTGGCCTGAGCTTTGTGGCTTTGTGCATCATCGAAATCAGGTGTGCTCTGTCTATGTAAAACCGATTTTGCATTGCAGCAAGCATTGTGCAACCCTTCCCTTCACAGAGTTACGAGCAGAGGTAGTGGCATTTCCCCCGCTGCCCTTAGCCCTTCCCAGTAAATATATGAAGGAACTGGAGGAGAAAAAGGCATATTTACACCCTAGGTTAATTCTCTCCAAGGGAAGGAGGAGAGGGAAAGCTTGGCAGGAAGGGGAAATGTTCCCTTTTTCTTGCTTTAATTACCTGATAAAGGAGGGGGGTTTGTGTGTACTATTCTTAAGAAAAAGGCGTAAGAGTTTGTATGCTTGATCATAGATGAAAATGGAAATTCAAGGGAAAATACATTGGTGAAGATTAAGAAAGATAAGGATTAAACAAGGTGCTGAAGGGGCCTATAATAACTAAGAGAGAGGAAGGATAACAAGGTTATGATTACCCGCTGAAAAGCACGTCAGAAATCACATATTCTTTAAATTTAGTCCCCCCCCCTTTTTTTTCTTTCTCTCTTGCATTTCTTTTTTTAAATTTGTCCTTAAAACTATTTAAAAAATTCTTAATAAATATTTTAAATGTATAGGGAAATGAAGTTCAAGGGAAAATACATTGGAACAATGTATGTGGCTTTGTTCATTTGGATGAAAAGTCTTTTGAATGCGTTACAATAGTATGAAAATTAGGGCTGATCACACTTCACACTATAGGTGTGTGATATGACAGATTTTTCTGATGTGAAAATCTGCCTCAAGGAGGCATTTGGAAGTCGAAAAGTATGTTCGTGTGGTCTTAAATTCATTCTACAGAACACTCATCAGTTTACTGTTTCCAACCGTCCATTAAAATCAGGGTTTTTTTTTTACATTTGAAAAAGCAGGTGTATTTCTTTTATAAAATAGGTAATTTGGCCAAATCTGTATATATCCTATAAATGAAACAATGAGCGGATAACATGCATAGGTGAAGACAAAGAAATATCTAGAGTGGATTTCTGTGCTTTTAGGCAGAGGTGACAAGATTTATATTGGCTTTAGAAATTTGCCTGAGTAACAGTAACTGCCACAGCAATTTACTGCTCAAACTGCTTTGTTTTACACACATACACACACATATATACAGGCAGATTGGTCAAATACCTGAAGGCTGTACATTGAGAAAAAAACCTGATCCACGAGGCTGAACGTTTGTTGTGTATGCTTGAGGGGAAAGTGTCTGTGCAAATGTAGGAAGCTGTGCTTTTAAAGAGTCCCCACAAAGAAGGCCCCTGCCTACTTCAGATTCAGATTCAAATTCAAATTCAAAAGAAAAAACATACTCTGCAGGAGGCCAATCCCCAGCCCGTGATGCCCTTAAAGGCAAACTGTATTAAGGCCTAAAAACAGGTCTCCCTATAGATACGCAAGTGATAGCCACCCTTGTAAGAAAATTGGCTCTTGCTCCACAGTACCTGCAGGTTACAAAGGGGAAGAAATGTTCCCTTTCTTCTCTATTTGTTGAGAAACTTTTCTGAGGCCCAATCCTTGTCTCTGAAGGTGTTTTTCAACTCTTTTCAACTGATGGTGTGCTAAAATCCAATCCCTTCTCCACACCCTTCATGAGAGGGGATACTTCATGTGGTTGGACGATGCCCATAAACGGCTAGGAAGAATAGAGTTAGAACTTAGCCCCTTCCCCGCTAAGATTCTCAATCTGAGATTCTCCTTAAGACCCCCATTCCTATTCACAGTATCACACATCAGTTCCAACTTCACTGACTCTTGTTTGCATTTATCTGGCTACAATAAAAGAGTTAATACGCATCTTCTCAAGAAAACATACAAACTGTTCCCCCACCCCACCCCTCTCCCCAAAACTGTTTTCTTTTGTTCTGTTTTGCTCTGGCTTTAATAAGGATATTGTTTTTGTTTCTTGCCAGAGAAACAGGCCAGCCAAGTGCATATCAACATTGCCCCTGCAGCTCCTCCTCCTGTACAATAGTAAGCCCAGCCAATTTGACAGGTGCCTGCAGGGGAGACAGAAGACACAAAGACAGTATTATTGAAAGTGCTGTCCTCCTTTTCTCGATCTCTTCCCACCCCCGCCATTGGAATAATAGTAGCATTTTAATGCTGTATTCAGTAATTGCAGGAAAACACATTTATTTATTCCTCACCCATCAAGTTTGTAGACATGCTGGTTCCTTGGTATGAGGATAGGCCAAGGTCTGAAGTTTTCTTACCTTCAAAAGATGCCTGCGTAGATAAAGTGCCTAGGAATTTAGAGGGTTGTATATAAACAGGCACTCATCAGAGTTTTTAGGCATTAACAACTCCTTTCAGATTCAAAAACGGTGTCCGGATATCTGCCCCTAAACCTAGTTTAGCTTGCACCTGGGTATATCTTCAGGAATCATGGACCATCATTGAAAAAAGGGGCTTTTCCCTCTCTACTGCAGTATGGTTTGGGGGACTCAATCCCTTTTGGTTTCTGTATGTAGGATCCCCACATTCAACTCAGGATGACCATTTCAAAATGAGTTAAAGTTTATGGAATTACAAGACTTGTAGAGCAGTAGTAAAGCAGTAGTAGAGCAGACAGAATTTAAGGAAGAAAATATACTTAAGGACGCAGTTCACACTACGGTCTAAATGGGTTTTGTTTTTTTTAATTATACACACAACAATGTGAAATCACAGTTGCCAGCTCTGTAGCTGGTGCTGACCTTCATACGCACTGAGTTTTTCCCAAGAACCTAGGATATGTGCGGATCCAAGCTGCATGGCCTCTTGTAATCAAAAGATGGAAATTTTGTCTATAATTATATTATTATTGCTTTACAATTTAAGCAAACCCAATCGCTGCAGTTTATAGATGATTTATATCTCAGCATGTTATGCAAACACAGCCAAGATCAGACCACAGTTAAACTAGCATATAGGCATGAGTTTCTGAAGTGGCTTTACTTTACTCATAGGTATAGATTTTGGCTGGGCAGCTGTTCCATTTCTTAAAGAATGGAAGATTCTTTCGTAACTTCTTTCATTCTTTTCTCTTTCTGGTTTTGTTTAAATGAAATCCATTTCATTTCAGGACATTTTCCACAGGGTTAGGATTACTCACCTAGTTCAAACTGGTCGGAAAGATTGCTACAGGCTTGTCTGACTTCTTCACTGTCCCAGCCCAGAGGATAGAGAGCACACCCAGAACCAATCAACAAACCTATAATAGGTGAAAGAAAGTAACACAATTTTAGCTGGACTATAGTCAACGAATGGCATGAATGAAGGTTGGTGGCAGATTTCATTTTCTGTTTTATCTCCCTGTCTCTGTGTCCGCAGTTGGTGGACCCTTGAGAAAAGAATGGACTACTTGAGTCCTCTAACTTTTCCTCTACTCAACAAACAAAAATCCAAATGTAAAGTATTAAAGTATACGAGTTGAACATCATGTGCTATATTGACAGCGAGGGGGAAATTTGTATCAGACCAAAGCAAAATTAACCAGATTGCTGCTCTTTCTTCAGAGTTTCCATTAGGTTTAATTTAGCTTAGGGTGATGTTATGGGCACACCTACAGTATGTAATCTTCCTTACAACAATATGAAATGGTTTACAACTGCCTTCTTCCAGAATATGTAAATCCAGCTTTCAGTTCTGGAGTCTTCTGAAAAGCTCCCATCAAGTACAACCAAGTTTCTCTATCTTGCTTAGCTTCTCAGGGTTAGGGTCAATGAAGTATTGCTATCTACTGAAGCTGCTCTGATTCTCTGCCTCACAAAAAAACGAATACAAATGTTGAGAAGGAGCACATGTCAGCAATCCAAGTGAAGACGTCATCCTATCAATTGTACATAATTATTATTTTTGCAATTCACCCTGCCCAGAATCCATGCATGCATTTATGATTCTTGGTATCTTGATAAATTCTTCAGAAGTGTTTGCATCTAAGAATACATCATCTAAATCTAAATGTATTGGGTGCCTTAATTTATGCAATTCCTTAGGCACAGCAATTAGTAAATGCAATGTATTTAACATCAAATCAATAAACTTGTAGGCCAGACAAGGAATAATGGATGGAAACTGAACAAGGAGAGATTTAACCTGGAAACAAGGAGAAACTTTCTGACAGTGAGAACAATCAACCAAGGGAACAGCTTGCCCTTGGAAGCTGTGGGAGCTTCATCACTTGAGGCTTTCAAGGGGAGATTGGACTCCCATCTGTCAGAAATGGTGTAGGGTCTCCTGCTTGGGTGGGGGGTTGGACTAGATAACCTACAAGGTCCCTTCCAACTCTGATTATCTGTATCTATCCAGACAGATTATCACTGGTTATTCCTTTGAAGTGTTTTTTGTGGGATCTATTTTGCATTCATTTCAGCTTTATATCACAGTCTACCAGAAAATGGTTTTCCTTATATCAGCTGCACCAGAGTAATATTTAAAAATGTTTTTCTAAGACTGACCTCTAAGTGTGATCATCCCAAACCAGCTTTGTTTAAGATCCTAAATTTCAGTTAACTATCATCTAGCACAATTTCCTTCCCATTTTAAAATCTCAAATGCTGAGGTAAAATAGGAGAAACTAACAGCCAATGAAGGCTCCCTCCAGCTGACTAAAGCGACAAAGCTCTCAATAACTCTGCCACTTCCTAAGACATGGCAGTTTCTAGGTAAAACAACAAGCCCGTTGCCCCTGCTTCACAGTGACATGGGTAAAATTAAATTGATGCTTCATACTTGTGTGAATGTATTTGGGAGAAGGAGGAGGAAAATAACCAAGCTCCTGGCCATCAAGGTTTCTTTCTTCTTATATTTAAACACAAACTGCTGAAATCTGTAATGACACCATCATTCTGTAAGCAGGTACTGTTCCAGACAGCTACATATATAGCTAGAGATTGCAGTGTAGTCTCTCTGCTTGGGGGAGTGGGATGGAAGAACAATGTCTCTCATTTGAGCCTAGAGGCTAAGAGGATGGGATGAGGCAAGCCTTTGGGGTAGTGGAACTGCTCACAGAAGCAGAAGAAATGAAGCTGCACCTTTTTAATAAGATGTGAACCTGAATAGAAACCGAATAGAAAAATCCAAGTCATATTCATTCATAAAATTTAATCTACTCATGAGTTGTGAAATTAGAGATCAAGAGGTTCAACTAGAGTTCGTCAAAATGAGAAAACCACCTGCTCTTGAGCCCTCAGGAACTCCAGATGGAAGTTTTCCAATCTGAAATGCCCTGCGGCTGACCAGAAGAAAACAGGCTACCCAGAAGGAAGAAGTCACAGGAACACAGCAGTTGATGCCAATGTTAAAAAAAAGAGGTACGCGTAGTCCTTGACTAAAACCATCATTTAGTGACCATTCAAAGTTCAAACTGTCACTAAACAAACGTTATATATCAAGGACTACCTGTAGAAAATGTCACTTGAGCAGTACACTTGTTTTAAATTATTTGTAAGCATTTAACAGAAGTTCCAAAGAGCAGTGCGGTAGCCTAGAGGTGGAATTCTTGTCTCTTAATCAGGAGGCTGTGAGTTTGATCCTTGGTAGTGGCAGATATTTCTCTCTCTGGGTGCAATGATGAATTGTCTGCTGTGAACTCCACAGAGGCAGCAGGAAGGGCATCTAGCCAATAAACTCTCAGCTCCATTCAGTCGCCCCAACTCCACCTTGATGCAAGGGATTACACAGGATCATTAAAAGGAAAAAAAAAAAATAGGAGTGAAGAAAGTCATCTTCTATGCTTATGGGTCTGTGCAGTAATATGAAATCCATCTTCAAGCTCTAAGTTGGATGGGGAACTACGGCCCTTTTATGACTTGTGGACTTCAACTCCCAGAATTCCTGAGCCAGCATGGTCATAAAGGGGCCATAGCTCCCCACATCTGCTAAATGAATGGATGAAACAGCTTTTCTGCCCCCAAGGTGGACAAATAAATACAAAGGAAACTAAAACTGAACTGGTTATGGCATGTGAATTCATGGCATAAACCCCAAGATATTTTCTTACAAATCTTTTTCATAGTTTGGAATTATAATTAAAACAGTTATTAGGACAAAGAGGGATTTGTATACAGGAAGAACTATTTAGAAAATTGTTCCTTTGTTCCTTGTATTTTCAGTTACAGCAAGAACATAAGATAGCTAAAAAGAACCGTTTCCAAAGGTCAAACAACATATGGAGAACTTTGTGAAAATTCAAACAAAGGAAGAGTATGTAAATCATGTGCAAATCCTGTTGAAATAAACTGCAAGAATGTAAAGGAATAACTGTTGGCTAAGCTGTTCCATACAATAAACAGCAATTTAATCTTGTTTATACAAATGAATGCCCACTTTTCAAGTTGAATGAATCAAGATTAAGTTATAAAATAAACATAGGAAAGAAGAATGAATGGGAGGTGGAAAAGAAAGTGAAGTTAAGAGAAAATCATGGCCAAATCAATGCAATCCTCAAAAGGTAATAGAACAAAGGGCAGCGTATAAAGCGATGTATGGATTTGGTTGAAGCCAGAACTGGTAGTTTGAATGAATAGAAAGGAATGGAATAATATAATAAATAGGGTGAATATAAACTCGTTGTTATACAGGTAGTTCTCATTTAATAATAGTAATTGGGACACTGGAATTTCTCTCGCTAAGTAATGTGGACATAAAGTACAGTATCACTGTGACCACATCACTTTCTGACTGCAATCCCAGCAGTCCCTGGTCCCATTGTAAAGCAAGGACCACAGGTTGTTAAGCATTACAGGGTGGATCAAGTCGATTTAAATCATCATTTAACTCACAATTTAAATCACTCGTTAAAAAGCTTGATTTAAATCAACTCGATTTAAATCATAATTTTTGAAGAGCAACTATCATCTCTGTCCTGCAGCCGCTCCTCCTCTGATCCGCTTTTGACTCAGCGACAGTCCCATTCACTTTAATGGGAAGACTGGTGATGGGGCAGTGACACGACAAGGTGAGAGATGTGGCGGGTTGCAGGTGAGTGGATGCCCGCTAACAGGCACTGCCATCTCTGGATCTGAAATGACAGGTTCAGAGGTGGTATTCAGCAAGTTCTGACCAGTTCTGGAGAATCGGTAGTGGAAATTTTGAGTAGTTCAGACAACCATCAAATTCCACCTCTGACAGGCCCCGCCCCCATCTATTCTCTGCCTCCTGAGTCCCAGCTAATTGGCTGGGTCTCCTTTATTTACCCTGCACAGGAGAACAGAGCTGGAAAGCAGGTTAGTGGGTGGGGAGGGAATGGGATTTTGTTGTATCCTTCCTCTGCCACACCCATCAAGCCAAGCCCACAGAACTGGTAGTAAAAAATTTTGAATCCCACCACTGCCACAGGTGCTTTTAAATGTAAAGATTCGTTCTTGCTGGTAGTTAGAATCTTTAATATTATTATTTGCAAACAAAATGAAGGTTTCCTATTTAGAGTGCATGTTATCTCAGTGTGCAGAGCTTGGATTCATTGAATGACTTTACCAAAAAAGTAAATATTTATTTTTTATTTTATTTATTTTGATTTGTCAATTGCTTGCAAGATAATAGGTATAAGTATATACATAGTTATGAATACATGAAATGGGTACATATAAGAAAAATAAAAAGAAACAATAGGACAGGGACGGTAGGCACATTGGTGTGCTTATGCATATTATTATATGCATAATATATAATATTATATTTATAATATGTTATGTTATATTTATTATATTATATTATATGCATAATATATATTATATTATATTATATTATATTATATTATATTATATTATAATATAATATAATATAATATTATATATGCATAATATATAATATTGCAGAAGATACAGCCTCATGCTATGTAACTAAGCTCCATTTCATGCTGAATAAACTAAATTATTAATGTATCTTAAGTAGAAAACTATCTTTAGATAGATTTTTACTCCGAAAGCATTTTATTAAAATAAATTTGATAAAAATAAAAATAAATCCCATTAATTTTTTTAAAAAAATCCCATTAATTTTTTTTTTAAATCATCAATTTTTATCCCACCCTGTTAAACAAGGATCTCATCTAACTGAGACGTGGGACTTCCTGCCAGTTTTCCACAAGCAAAGTCAATCAGGAAGCCAGCAAGAAGTTACAACTCCCCACCACGAAAGGCGGCGTTCCCTTAGGCAGCTTGCAGGCAGGTCAGCGGGAAGTGTATGCAAGAGAGGGCAGGCAGGGATTTG